GAATAATTATTGCAAAAAACAGACATATTATAAGAGTGAAGCGACTTTTAAAAATGTCTTGTGCTAATCAAGTACTTTAAAATAAAACCTAAAAACTGTTTTGGATAAATCGTAATTGTGTTTTTTACGATTTATTCGCCAGACAAATAATTAGTTGTTTAGCACTTGTAACAAGTTATAAGGAATATCGTGCACCGAATCTGGCGCTCACATACCTACGAAACGAAGTTAACTTTTTATTTATTTCTGAAGACTTTTCCAAAGAAGTGTTAGAAAAAAGGAAATTATTAAAACCAAAATTAATAGAAGAACTAAAGAAAGGTAAGATTGCATATTTAAAATATGATCAACTTATAGTCAAGGAAAACGGTTCTAACACAGGCAAAAAGAAGAAAGAATTATCGGCTTCTCCACAAACTGAGATTGAGAGAGAAAAAGGAAATACTGCCATAATAAAGTACGATAAACTTATATCCCGTGAGAATATTCATATTCAAGAAAATAAAACAAAGAATAAGCAACAACAGCCTGGCTATAAAAATAAAAGCCACAAGGTCAAATAGTGTCACCGAAGGTGCCATAAAACCATGCATGAATTTCTTGACAAGTGAAAATACAACGAACAAAAATGCATAGCAACAAAACTCCTCTCTTCACATCGATATTTCAAATAAACGAACTTCAATTAAAAACATAATTTTCCAACCCGACTGGTCACCGTGGAAGATTACGACCAAAACCCGCCAAAGATACAAATCTCAAACTCAACCTTAAAAAGTTCGAAAAATCAGGCGGAAGGGGAGACCCTTAGACCGCTGGGAAGATGATCTGAAAAGATCAGCTGGCATAAACTGGCACTCCATAGCACCGACAACATCTTTGGAGGAGGCCTTTACCCAAACCGGGGTTCCTGTTAATTCATAAATAAATAATATATTTACATACCTATATTACTAACATAATCTAAGCTAACCTATTACCAAAAATCAATATTTTTTGTTACTATAATATAGCAACTACCAACTATTGTAACACAGGAAATAAATAGGCTTATTATTATTATATATTTCCAACATTGGATATTATAGAAACAATTAGTTTCTGCGAACTTATATTTTTAAATAATAAATATAGTTAAAAAAACTATAAAACACGCTTTTAAAGCACATCAAACTAAAAAGTGAAAAATAATTCCTAATTTAGGCTGAAAATTGTAATGAACAAAAAATACTGGTATTATTGTGAAAAAGCGTGGGTTGCTCGAAGAGCGCTTGATGTGCTTTAAAAGCGAGTTTTTTAGTTTTTTTAAACTATATTTACTGTCCACTTTTAGTCCTAGCAGCAATACGTATTGTCTCAATTTAATCGTATTGCTTTGTGGACTTAAAAAAATTTCATTGTTTTTTTCGAGATAAACCTATGAAATTATTATATTGTCGCTGATTCTTTATAAGTGTACAAAGTTTGAATTAAATCTCTCCGTTTAATGTGGGTCAAAATCGAGTCCGAAGGAGTCGGTTACATACATACATACATACATACATACATACAGATGAAGCTAATATAAAGCGTGTAAAAATTGAATTAATAGGTAATTTGTATACTTTTAGGGCGCTGGTTGGTCTACGCCTGACAAATTGCAGTATCTGTATGTAAAAACTTTAACTAGCGACCAGTGCAATAAGAAGTTAAATGGAAATGATGGAATCATTATTAGGTCCAGCCAAATGTGTACCCTTAACGAACGTGGAGAAGGAACATGCCAAGTGAGTATATCTTTAAAGAGCGCGTCGCGATTTTTGTAAATAGGCACGAAACATTGAGAGCTGAATCATTTTGCAACTAATCTTTTTCAACGGTATACGACTACACAGCCTAGGGGTGCAGATATAGCTTAGATACATCAAAGTAACATCTTAGTAATAACGATTATTGACTTTCGTTACAGACAATATAATTTTTATGAATTATCGAACAATAATGACATTCCATATAACTATCCGCATGCAATGTACAATGTTTGTAATTGGAAATTTTCAGGGTGATTCAGGCGGCAGCTTAGTGTGCAACGGCACCTCAGCCGGCGTCGTGTCCTTCAACTGGCCCTGCGCTGATAATATACCTGATGTGTACGCTAACACGTACATGTATAAATCTTGGATAGAAGAAAATACTAAATCACCCTAAGCATTGTCAATTATAAATTGTTATAAATTTCGTCGCATAGATTATTATACGTTTTTTATTTAGTTGTAATTCCCATATTGCATACTCAAACACCATAAAGCAATAAGTACCTATAATACAGGGGCACAGCAGTAGAACTGCGTTGCAAGACTTGATGATACCATATTTCCGGTACTTTCTTTTTCTTGAATTTTCACTTAATAATATACTTAGTTTATCCAATGAGTGCCTTCCAATCGTCAAAGTACCTAATAATACAATACATAATACAAAAGAATTTATGAACGAAAATCAACTCATAGGTAAGATTTCAAGGCACATCCGAACAGCAATAGCAAGACGCTTGCGCGCGCCGTTGTTAACAATAATAATTACGCACATAATATGAATATGCACGTACGAGGCTAGCAAGGAAACGAGATGAGAGCGACCGCGTCGTGTCAGTTAAAGATAATAATAATGTAAAATTTTTATATTTCATTCACTTTAAATACAATCAATGTACCTATATAGACAATCATCGGTCATCGGCATCTTATCGGTCAGTGAGTGAGTGATTGTCAAAGCTATTATATGTGTGTATGTGTATATATATATATATATATATATGTATTCATTGTAAAAATTATAATAATTTTTAAACAAAAGTATGTACCTACTTAATGAATATCGTATGAGTGTAGGGTATAATAATAATAAAGCCACTATAATTCCATACTTTAAAAGTTACAAATCAGATGCATGTTAGTTTAGTTATTTCTATTTCGCGTACGCGCGGTCTGGGAACGCGCCTCGGAGCACGTTCCTCACGCCACGCTCACCGCCGCACACGCCATCGCCGTTCACTTCATCGTGCCCACGCTCGTCACGGGTGAGATGAAATAGTCTCAGAGTCACGTTTGAAATGTCGAAAGTTCAGATTTTTATTCAGTTTTATTTCCAGAGTCGGGAAAGGAAACGGTGACGCCGGTGAGTTCAATATTCCGAGTGATGAGTGAGCTGCAAAGGGACGGACTCGTGGAAGACTTCACTCTCAACCAGACGTAGCTCGAACAGGTCCCACTTTTAAATAAAATTTATTAAAGATTTGGTTTAATGCGTTTATTAACTTGTGCAGAAAAGCGTATGGAGCAAACAACTCTATTTGATTTCTATTTGATATCTGCTAGAGGAAATAATGAAACGCTAAATGTCCTTTATTATTAAGAAAAAAATTTATAAAATTATTCAGTTAACATTATATCGTGAAACGGCACGACGCCATTGAGTGATCAGGCATCGATATGCGCGGATGTTAAAAAGCTGTATTTTACTATCTAAATTAATGTTTTCCAACGTGGGGCCCACGCCCCACATTTGCCACAAATTGCCCAATTTGATTAAGCGGGTTCGAAAATTTATAATTTTTAAAATAATTATTTGTAATTTCAGTTTTTCATTATGTTTTGAAATCTACTAACCTATAGATTCGATTATATATAATTATATATAGTAAAACTTGAATATAATCTTTTCAGATATTCCTAAAAGGATCGGCCGATATCGACGCATTTACTCCAGAATCGGAAACCGCTGCTCCCCCCGACCTCCGCTACAGAAGAAGCAGCGACGAGCTCAGCACAGTCACTGCTCTTTGAGCATTATTAGAAATGAACTCTTTTTCATATCATATCGTTAATACTTTATCCCTCTTTGGCTGAACCACGGGTTTGAAAAAGTAATGAAGACTGCATCAGATGTATGAACTATCTTATACAAAGGGCACCGGTTTCAACTCTTCAAATAAAAAGATAATATACATTTTAATTAGAATTTAATATATGTAATATGTATGCAATAAATCGAATTTACTATTCCGTCCCTATTTTATCCTTTAATAATATGTATGACAAACTTAATAATAACAATCATATACATGACAATGTTCCTAGGATTAATTTTATTTAGATTTAGATTGAATTATTATCTAAAGGGTTATTTGTAACATTGCGTAGTTCCTAAGTGACTTCAATGCTGTGATAAAATATAAAATAAATAAAATGGTTTTTGGTATTTTTTTCTTAATAATAGTGAGATCAAGTTATAGAGAGCATTACGTAAGAGAACACTTAACAATAATCGAGAAGTCGCGGAGAAGACCGATTACATATTAATAATTAGAAACGAAATAAAAAACAACAGCGTTAAATAGCTAACATAACTGTAATCAAAATCACTTTGTTGGCTGGAAGTCTTCCACAGTCCGTTTCACAAGGCATTTTCTTTTTGCGAACTAGCGAACTGTGGAATCCACTTAGTCATTCAAAGTTAGAGTTTACTTCTTCCTCAAAGGTCAGCAACGCACCCACTAAAAATGGGTATCCATGGGCTGCTCTTTTTCAGCGGTTCGTAAGCTCGTTTGCAATTGTATAAAAATATAAAAAATAACACAAAACTTAATTTACTTAGTACAACAAGCGATCACCGCATCTCAAAGTGGAATGTCGTGCGTTATCAAATGTAATAATACCATACAGCTTAATTTAATTTAATAATATAAAAACAGCTTTATTTTACAGCTGTTTGCAATTAGACCTCGGTTATTACCCATTCGAGAAAATATACGGAACCTAAAAGGGACGAGAGATAACAGCGCTCTATTTGCGTTTTTGCAACTTGACATGTGGTAAATTATATGCGAAATAACAATCATTAAAACTGCTCAAAAATAGCTAACGAAGGAATATGAATCTCCTATTTTCCAACCCCATGTTAATGTAGAATAGGAGAATAGAGGAGTTTACGTAATTTATTCATCAAATATAATAATTATATTAACTAGAATCGAAGGAAATGTTCTTGAATGCGGCTGAACTGATAAAATGCTGTGCGAATATGTCGATGGTGCGATACACGACGTCTCTGTTGATGCTCTCGTGGCTGAAGCTCATGACCAGGAGACGAACGGCCCGACTCAACTTCTCTTCGCCGAATATGTACGTTTCTAGGGTACAAGCATATTTTATTAATCAACAAGACATACAACAACAGACACAAATGAATGCAAGTTTGTCCTAAAAAAACGTGTGTGTGCTTATGTACACGCGTTAGAAGTTATACTTCTTTGGTGTAATAACTTTCTTGGAGCACTTTAGAATTTAGAGGGACGTTTCCCTCTTCGAATTACATTTTTCTTGTCAATTTTAATAGTCACTTCCAATCGAAACGATATAATATGTACTAATCATAATATTTTACAATAAACGCTATTTTTTTATTCGCATTGGAACGGGTTTTCTCGTATAGAAATCATTATTTTGGTTTAAATAAATACGACTCTAAAAAACACTACGCCATGACAGACAATACAACATGTCGATAAAACAGATCAAGGGCCAACTAGCGGCCCAGACTGTTTTACCGACGTTAGAATTAGATATCCAGGGTGTCGGTTTTCTTGTGACGGTGTGCGCGCGCCTCGTAAAAATTTACTTTCATCATTTTTCCCTAACGTGCCCAAAGAAGTATAACTTCAACATTCATACAACATTTATGCTCTTAAATGATCGTGTGTTCAAATCCCGACCCTGCACAACATTTCTCTGACTATATTTCTTAACTTCTTTTCTGGCGTTCATAAGTGTACTTGTTTACCTATATGAATAAAGTTATTTTGACTTTGACTATGCAGAATTGGCACTAATGGCCATAGGAAACCATCTACACAAAGCTCTTGACAAACATGAAGAATGTATAACCCAGCAGTGGAATAATCAGCGCCGGTACTCTGTAACTTCCAATAGTGTAATTAATGTAAATTCCATGAATTGTCAAATTTTCAAAACGTACCTGGCATTTTTTCCAAAATAATTCGGCACGTTTCATCGACATCGAACTTCCTCAACGTCTCGGGGGTTTGGGGTTCAGTTTCCAACTCGGACATTCTTTCAAACACGTCGAACAATTGTTGCCTCATCCACGCAGTCAGTTCTTCTAACCGCGAACAAATCAATGTCTCCGCTACGTCTGTGAAAATAAAAAAGGTTTTTGAAGTGAAACTTTTTTTAGGCGCATGACGATAAATTTTTAAGGAACGTCACGAAGATGTGCAGCGTTTTTGTCGAAAGGGAGAGGGCGATTGAGACCGATTGAGAGAGAACGATAATGGAGAATTACCTTATAGAAATTATATTTTTAAAATTAAAATTTCGTAAAGAGAATTTACGAAATATTAGTATTTTATATTTTATGCAAAATAATTTATTGAAATCTCAAATGACGAATTGTAAATTAAAATGCCATATGTTTTTATTATCGAAGAAATAAATTAAACAAAATAAAATTTATTATGTGTATAAATTTTCGACACTTTTAATATTTTAATGACAATTCCTAACATATCTTCCTTTTTCCCTCCCTTTAAGTCTCGGAAATCTAAAGTTTTAAATTTGTATAAATATGAACAAGAGTTAAAAATTAGTTTGCCAAAGAAGTTTCACTTCTGACATGTGCACTTTGTACGCACGCACTTTTTTTATTCCCTCGCCACCGTTTGTTTCTAAATGTAATGAATTTTATAATAATAGATTTAACTTTCTGCAAAATATCTGTTGACTGAAGTACATCCCGCCATACACGAATATTCTTAGTATGGCAGGGTGGGCGGAGCCTCCAGCGGATAGTTCATAACGTACTAAACGCAGAAGCTGTGTTCGAGATAAAAAAAATCCTTCCATATCTTTTTACGATAAATTCCTTACGCTTAGCTTTCTTTTCTTAACTGTATTCTTCTCACTCCACTCTAAATTTGCTTTGGTGTGCTGGTGTAGGTATTGTAAATGTGTTTTGTGACAAATAAAGTTTTACTTTTATGTTTATTTTTTTATGTAAAATTGTGTTTACACAGTGACAAAAAGGACAGATTTCTGGTAAAACGATGCAATTACACTTATTTATTTTTGATAATTCTCTTCTAAAGAATGTAATTAAACTTATCTATTTCAGAAAAGCAAGACGTTAATAAACATAGGGTATTTCGCAAAAAGTTGTGCATATTTTATACAATTATACTGTGATGAATGATTTGTATAATTCACCGGCCAGCAGAAGCGTGGCGAGGCGGAAGGAGACGTGGTCTTCGAGGAGCCCCAACTCGCAGAGCACTTCGCACGCCGCGCACCAAACCCCGCTTGACCACGTCCACTCCTCTGCAAATTATCAAAATTGTTTAACTCAGTCTCCCACTAAAAGAGATTTAGCGCGATCTTAACTCAGGTAGGGCAAAATATAATAATTACGATTGGAAAACTTGAGACACTACGCGGAACGAGCACACGTCGAATAGAACTTGATAGTATTCTAAAAGTAAACGTACCGCTGTGGCCATTCCTATCACCCGTAACAAAGATATATGGCATTTGCATAAATTGTCTATGGACTATTTCTTGGATGTCAAACGTCAATTATCAATGAAGATATTTACTGTATGGGTCAGATTCAGAATCGATTCTCTTCAATCGTCACGAGTGGCGGGGTGCGGGGACTTTCAGAAAATCCAGAGTCGTCACGAAAGTTGCTCTACTTTATATTTTTTTAAATGTCGAGAAAATCTCAACGTGTTGTACTTAAAAGCCACAAAGCCACATTAAAATTATTGTTTAGAAGTTTATATTTACTAAAACACATGAAATCAGATATTGGGAATGTATTTTATAACTGGTTTTGAAATTATTAAATGGTGAAATTTATCTTAGAAATTAAAAAAAAAATCAGATAGCGAAAAATTATTCCTATTAATACTTAACATAGTTTAGCATATCGATCGTACCTATCGCGTTATCGATATGCACCTTTACAATTCTTACGTACTTCACTATCCCTCTTCATAATACCTGTAAGTGCGAGCGAGACAGACAGATAAATATGATTTGTGACCCGAAGCCTCAGTTCATAATGCGACTTCTATAGTAATATTCTGACATAAAAGATTTAAAAAATAATACGTGTGTGTAACAAGATACAATATTTATTCCTCGTTTGTAGAAAAAACAACACTAACAAAAGAAAAAACTAAAATATTGACTATAGCCAACTTCAGGGTGTCGGTAATTTGTGACGGTGTGCGCGCGCATCGTAAAAATTTACTCTCATAATTTTTCCCTTAAAAGAAGTATAACTTCAAAAAACTTGCGCTGAGACAATCTCACCGAGGTCATCTTCTGGATGCGCCTGCGACGGCAGTTGTTGCAGCGAGTCCAGCGCCGCGTCTACGTGAGCCAAAGCCCGACGAGATCCCACCAGACGGGACACAGCGTTGGCCACCTGCCACAGTTGCACATTACCATATAGGAACACACAGAGGAAGTACTGAAGGCTACGAGGTCTTACGCTGGTGTCGACGTTGGTGGTGACGTAGTTCCACTGGTGATGCACTTCTCCTTCTCCGTCGGCTCCCACGGCTGTTTTTATCGAGTTGAACACGCCCGTCACTGTTCGTTGGAATAATCTGAAACATAATAATAATAATAAAGCCTTATTTCCTAGAAACGTTAATCCAAATACAAAAGATAACTGACACACGCTTAAAATTTTATTCAGAAACTAGCTGACTCGGCAAAACGAGATTATTTGAAATTGTAGTTCAAAAAAAACGCTATTATCTAAAAAAATAGATAGATAGCCTATTCTCAAGACCTACTGAATATGCATATAAAATTTGATAAAAATCGGTCCAGTCGTTTCGGAGGAGTACGGTAACTAACATTGTGACACGATAATTTTATAAATATAAGAAGATATACAAATATAATATATATTACTACATATTTCTATTTTATATTCATGGGCTAGTGGGAGCCCATCTCACCTCTGCTACGCTCTTGTTGCACACAGTGACACATCTGACATAACCTTATTGGAGAATCTTCCAGTTGCGATCTGAAGTTTCTTAATATTTCGGGTAAATGCTCGGTAGTTAGCTTTATATCGATTTGTTGAGATCGCACCTTAATCCAAATATAATGAGATGTATCACTGTCTGACTTGTTTGTGAGTCGCATGTACATGACGGATCTGACTTTAAGCCAAATCTGTGCAGGTGTGGCATTGAAAAACAATTTTCAATTAACCTGCTCCCAAGTCTATAAGAACTGGCGCTTAGTGTGATCTCCGTGAGATCCATACGTTTTTGCCATCCGGAGAAATACTCAACGCTATTAAAAGGCAAAAATTCTCTAAAAAAGCTATTTATATAGAATTAACTTCCAAAATACCTGTCCAGCCTCTGCATGTTGTTGGGGGTTTGACTCGGGGACGCGTTTCTTTCTAGATTCATGTCGTATTCGTCTGGAATAGAAAATATATTTTGATTACTGTATATTAAAATGGCTTTCGTTAATAACTTAATTGCTTTTAATACTAAATAGATACCGGCGAGAGTGGCAGTGTCCACGTGTCGCTCGGAGTGATGCGTCTGAGTCCGTCCTCGAGTCTCTTCTGCTGTCTCCCACCAAATCTCCTCGTTTCTATTAAAATAGAATATGAACCCAAATTTACATTTCGACCAAGACTAATGGACAACAAGCTAAGATCAAATGTACCTGGGCGCAGCTTCGTTGAGCAGAGAGCGCAGTTTGGCAATGGAGTGCGAGAGATCGGCAACTTCTTCGTACTGCGGCTCCGGAGACTCCGAAATAGCCACGCCGGCCTCAGCAGGGGGACGGGCTTGAGACTGAGGCACCGTTGATTCAATATTATAAAAGATTTAATATTTTGATTTTAATGAAATATCCAAGCCATTTATTATCTTATTGATTTGCTAAAAACGCAAGTTTGAAGTTATATTGTTACAAGTTTAAGTAATCAATTGACACAAATGACACACCCCGACCACAGAATGTGCCTGGAGAATCTATGCGAACGGATAGTCGCAGCTTCAAATAAGAAACAAAAATAAAACCAGTTTCATCATCGCAGGTCAAGGCAGAATACAAAATTAAATCCGTATCACCTCGACATCCGACGTTCCACTAATGTGGAAACAGCTGCCCATTTCCGAACCAATTCGACTTAGGGTTCTTCTAGAAAAGAGCCTACCAATTCTTAATAGGCCGGCAACGCAGTTACGTACCCTCTGTCATTGAGTGTTTTTAGGCGGCAGTATCACTTAACATCAGGTGAGAATCCTGCCCGTTTCCCTCCTGTTTTATTAAAAATAAAGGAAATTGTGGTTCGGCATCCCGTGGAGTATAGTCCCAGCAAATCAAAGTACACATAAGTCTATAATAAAGTCTCTTCCGTGTTAGGGAAGATAAGTAAGTAAATCAAAAGTAATCAATTGTTAAAAAAGTTATATTACCGAGCTGTCTTGAGATGTAACCCTTTGCTGCTTCACAAGTTGAGGAACAGCAGAATTGCCATCTGAAATATACCATAAAACGAAATATTTACCTATTTGTTTGAATGGTAAAAAGTAAATTTAAGTCAGTTTAAAAGAATAAACAATCTGGGCCATTAATTAAATTTATATTAGACGTTGCTTCCATGAGCTGAAATAATTATTGCCTAAAAAATATGCAACTATTTCTTTCCTGGCTCGATTCCGTTTCGTATCCTCTAGTATTAACGCTAAAAATTAATTAATAATGGATTGTACCGTTTCTCCCGATAATAAATAAAATACGAAAATTGTATTTAAATATTGATCCAAATTCTAACATCTTGATACAAATGACCCTTTTGAGCATGGAAATGCTTGCGATCATAGATCGTACATCGGTCTATACTCTGATTTTTAATTCTAAATTTTTTTTAATTAAAGTTAATTCGATATATTGAAATATATGTATTTCTGTATTAGGGCACTTGACTAAGTAAATATTTACCGTTTTGTAGAAAGAACATAAAAAATACGTTGCATTTTATTTTTTATTGCCTTCAAATGGGTCAAATTTGTCCCCTTTTCTGTGAACTTTTTTAGTAGCAACACTTATGAAATGTCAGAATTCTACGGAATGAAAAATCAGAGTATAAACGATATGTGTAATCATCTAATAACAATTACACAAAGAAAACTTTATCTCTGAGGCACTGAGGCAATATTGTACGTACCTTTAGGGGCGTACTCCTTAATATCCCTGTGTTCTGTCACCATTTCCTGCTTGCCCCGTCTTTCTGTCGGTGACAACTTCTCTCGCTGGTGAGATGGTGACTTCTCCTAATTAAATTTTACCAAAAAGGGTGTGAATAGAGAAAAATAAAATACCTAACAAAAATCAGCCTAGTAATTTTTTTCCAATTCTTACCATTAAAAGTAATCTACGTATAGAATAATCTGATTCATAAACATCTTAATCAGAAATACTGATTGAAGAAATAAAAAACGTGAAAGAGAAAGACACGAGAATGTAAGTGCCTGCTGCTGATAGAGGACAAATCTTTTGTTTTATTATTGATTAACTATTAATTACCTAAAGATGTCATGTAGAACTTGGTGTAATGGATGCAGCTTCTTACAAACATTTTGTAAAGCAAAAAACTTGGCGATTAAAAAGAGTGGCGGAGAGTTTATTTCCAGTTCTCGTCCGTTCTACGCCCTTGATTTGAGAACTGGCAGTAAATGTAAAATTAGAAACATTTCATACGTATTTCTATATTGACGTTCATAAGTGTACATTGTGTTACCTAAACGAGTAAATGATTTTGAAATTGAATTGAAAATACTTTAACTAATAATTATCTCTTAAGGCCCTATCACAGCACGAATTGCTGTGTCGGTGTCTCGAGGTGGACTGCAGGGCGCAGTGGAGAGCTGGAGCACTGAGGCGCACCGGCCCGTAATAACAATTAGTTATGTAAAATATTAAATTGATTTGATGATTTTTTTTTTCTGAAATGGATTACTTAGCTTGCGATATATATCGTGTAAATTTCAAAATCATGTTCTATATACATTTTCGTCATAAAATGAATTCAAAGTGTCAAAGTTTGGATTTTTTTTCTATCGAGCTAAGCTATTTAAAGAGTGTATCGATCTTTCAAAATCGATACATGAACTACTCAACTAAACCATATATTTTTTCCATTCATCCTACTTCAAGAAACGACGACCAAAAATGGAAAGAAAATGTTTAAAGAACTTTATTTCTCATTACAAAAATTTTTTTTTTTATTTACATGAGAAATTTAATATTAAGTATATATACGAACGAGATACACGTCGCCATCAGCTAGCCCAATTCTAGTCTAATGGGCCCATTCTGATGTGTGTCTTTAATGCCCTTTTGAACTGATCAATCACGCTAATGTTACGAAGCTTAGACGGCAACCGATTAAACAATTGCACACCCTCATACCTAATAGATCTCTTTAAATAATTTGTGCGCGGCTTTGGCAAGATAAGCAAACTCGCTCGACGAGTATTGCGTGTAGTGGTGTATTTGATTTTATTAAATGATAAGTTACTATGTAGAGAGTTATTTAAATTTTTTTTTAAGAAACAATTTTTTTTTAAAAGAAACAATCCTTAGTAAAATGGTCTGAATACTGTAAGTCGTAGAACGGTAAAACTTCCGATATAGTGTTTACAGTGAGTAAATAGTGTGATAGTGTTTACAAGAATACCTGCGAGTCATCACTGAGTCCTGTAAATCTCAGTCCTTTTTTAATCCCCGCGATGCCTTTGTCCAACAGACCTTCCATCATTCCAGCAGCTTCGTCCTGGATATACGAATTAAATACTTTTATCACCACATACAAAATCTACGAAGAGATAAGGTTTTGCTCTTATAATTCTCGCAACATTCGTAACTATTTGTACGTTTATAAAATACACAGCATAACTATGTTAAGTTCAAAAACTTATGTGTCTCCAAGATATCAACCCTATGAGAACCTTTAAAAGAACATAAGACCATTAATACTGGTTCTTTTCAGTATTATTTCATATACAATATACCAAAACCCCCCAACCAGTGCTAGAACAAGGCCATGCAACTTTAGCCCCGCTTTTAATATCCCAAACCAATATACAATTTGAGTATTTTTTTTTATTTAGTGAAAACGACGCCTTCACACTTATAGATTTGTTTGTATTACATAGAAGAAACATTTTAATAGCATTAGTTTAAGGATAAAATACTTTTATTTGGAAAGAGGTTAACACTTGTAGAAGCAAACATGCAGACACGCCATGCAGAAGATAAGCCACACAAATGGCCGAACACAAACACTCTCCGACTTACCATGAGCATAGTAGAACATATACCTAAAAATATAGAATTTCCTTGAAGTATTAATCCTATCGCAAAAATTTTGGGGACCAGTATTAGGCTGCATACAAGTGAGACTTTTCATGAGAAATTTTATTTGGATTGAATAGTAGTACATATGTCGCAGTAAAGTAGTTAAATCAGAGAGTTAATTGAATCTCTAGACATTTAATTAAAGATCGATATTCAATCAAGTCGCTAAAGTTCCGTCAGACAAGTGACTGTACGAAACACTTAACGAGTTTCCTTAAGGTTCCTAGACAACAAGACGCATTTCAACTTTGGTAAGGTGACCAAAATATTTGTTTGGAAAAACACACGGAAGCTTTTCCAAGCTCTCACGATCACATCGAAACTCGGTCCAATTTTAAAAACCCGGGTTTTCGGGTCTGAGAGTAATCAAAACCGGGTACCCGGTCTTTCGGAGCATTTCGGTCTTTTTATTGATTTTTTTTAAATGCACTAATCTGCGTTTATATATCGATTTCCTACAATGAATACAAAATATAAAGGATGAGAAAGAATTTAAATAAATGAAACAATACTTTAAAAATTACAAAAACAGTTTTAATGTTTAAAAAAGTGATAAAGATTTATTTTTTCTTCAGAATATCTTCAGTAATCTAGTATTTTTTAAATCACAGACTTGCAGAGATTAGTTTTAACATTAAATGAATTATTTTGGAAACATTCACTTATTGTATTTAAAAGCTAATAAAAAGAAAATCTTCAAAAGACATTTTTGTAGTATAACAATTAATTTTAATATTAATAAAGCTCTTCTTCGCATTAACAATTAAGTAACGAATAATTCTACTATAATTTAAATTGCAGTAGTTTCAAATTAGGTCTATAAACCAACTAAGTAAAAAGTAGTTATCATTTGACAATTATTTAAGATCCTCTACCATCTGACCACTTTAGAAAAAAAGAGAGGAACGCTCTCGCCGTCGCGTACCGCCATTCTCGAAGAGTGCTATTTCTACCCTCACAGTAGTAGGTAAGCAAACCGTCGGCTGATCCAGTTTCAGAAGCATTCTTATCAGTAGCAACAGCTTGACTTAACTGTCTGTTCAGTTCCTCTTCATTTGACAAAGTAGACAACTGAATGTCAATTTCTCGCAGGTCTTGGTCTGGCGCTGGCAAATTTTCAAGAGGTATATTTTATTTTTTGGTTGTGCGTTTAATCAGATTAACAATTTCGTTTAGCATTTCATTTACTGTAGGCCGATAAAAACAGTTTTATCTTCATTTTGAATGTTCTCAAAATATTTACCCGGATTTGTCAAGTAGGTACTGTAGTGTGGCTGCTTGAGTTAGTATTTTTTTTGGGTATCGTTTGCCAAATGCAGTTGCCATTTTGTTACTTAGTGGTGTCTTCATTTCATCCATTTTTTCAATGCAAATTTTAGGGAAACATCAGCTGTAAGTAATGTTGCATCGCGTCGACATAGCGCCTCGACGACAGTTTTGATAACATCCAATATTTTTGGATCTCATCTTTATTTCTCAAGTCAATTTTTACAATATTTACAATATCTGTTTTTAAATCAATTAAAGCTTTTATTTAAAAAAAAATCATCACCGGCAACACCCCGCACAACGCGCGACGAGATTCGCTACACCCGCCCCTCTCACTGCTCCACACTTCACTCTATTCATGTCTTGAGATGGACGCGTGGAACGCGAAATTAACTTGCAAGGCTTGTTTTATTGGTAGGAACGTAGCAACGAAGCTACTTTTTACGTAATAAAGAACAATTTATCAAAGCGTATTTTTATTCCATTTACTTATTATTGCATTCGAAGTGGCTTAAACTAAATAAATAACAAAAGTATTAAAAAAAACCCGAAAAACCCGAGTTTTAAAAATTAAACCCGGGGTTTTTTTTTATCCCTCAGAACCGGGAAAACCCGGGTTTTTTCGGTCCGGGTAAACCCGGGCTCGATGCCCTACTCACGATCACATCGAAATTGTAAACAACATGTTTACAATTTCACCGAAGACCACAATTTGAAACAAAAAACCACTCACACAACAAACCAACGTTTGCCAAAAGAAAGACTCTAAAAGTAATCAGCTGTTGTCTTGACCGCCATCTTGTTTTATTAATCAACACGCTGGCTTTCGGTCAGACAGTTTTCGACGCTGCTTCATTTAAATCAAAACGCTAGCGACTTGATTGAATATCGATCTTTAATTAAATGTCTAGAGATTCAATTAACTCTCTGATTTAAACTACTTACTTTCCTGCGACACATATACAATGAGTATACCAAAAAAGAAAGAAATTTAAAAACCTCTACCAAATGGTATAACTTAATGCTGTCCAAATTCAAACCCACAAATCAAAAACAAATGTTACGAAAATTAAAATTGTCTCACTTGTATACTTCCTAAGCTAGCAGAAGCAAGATAGTACGTGCAACATACACCAGGAGGCTTGTCTACGTGCAACGGGACCTGCAGGTCTCCGATCTTGGTCTTAGCCTGGTTCACTGTGCTCTGAATGTCCTTTAACAAGGCATCAGCCGCTTTTGGACTGCTTTTCGTCTCTTTAGCTGGCTCTGGGTCTAGGTCAATGGCATCTTCTTCACCTAAAGTATTTTTCAATTTTATTTATTACAGATATTCATACATTATGCTTACAGACTATGCCAATAAATAAAATCAATAATATTAAAGTATATAATATACACAATATCACTACTGTGAATTCACTCTGCGAACATATAAACATGTCCATAGTGATTGAGACAGCATTCAGTAGGCAATCTGTGCAACAGACTGGTTCTGGTCCTTGGTATCGCAATCAACGTTGGCCTTCACCATCATACATATCCCATAAGTCCAAAGAAACCGAGTTTTGGAGCACACTATTATTTTGAATGTGAAGTTGAGACATTTTTCTTCTTCAAAATTTAGACGTTTTAATTAGAAATATAAGTACCATTAATGTGAAACCTTTGAATCTTTTAAGTAATACCTACAAGTAATAAACTTAACAATGTACTTACCAAACCACAATGGTTGAGGAGAGGTGCCTCTCATAATTGGACTAGTCTCTAACTCTTCGTGGCCCCACAGTCTGCTGAGGGTCAGCTCATCCAGGCTTGCTAGAAGGTCCTGACCCATGCTGATGCACTGGAGATCCATATCTGTCTCCCATGTCTTTACACTGCCTAAGAATTAAGCAAACAACAGAATTTACATATGCAGAATTTATGTTTAGCTGGGACAACACATTTATTTTTATATACATTTTGGAAATAAACATAGTCCATATTAGCCAGGGATAATGCAGAATCTTCTTTACTCTTTGGGTAATAAATATATCAATATGTTAAGATATAGATAAATATTTCTTTCTAAAAAAATCTTCTCCTATCCTCTCCTAACAAAGGCTTTTCACTTATTTCATTGAAAACTAGCTTAATTTGTGACTCCAAGTGGACTACCTACCAAAATAAGTGCATTAATTGACTTAGGATTTTTTCCAAATTCCAGTTACCTAAGTTTCTTTAAATCTGTTACTTTAAATAAGATTTAATAATACAATTTATAGCTAAAGTATGATGGTGACAAAGGATGTATAAAAAGAGTACCTAATTATTTTACCTTTTGGAAACTGAGAGATACTTATGTTGATGACTGATGATAATTAATTACTTTCTAGCTTACCCTCGATGACTCTATCATATATTTTTACTTCATTCGTTCCTTGCCTCCCTCTACGCTGACGTAACACAGATTTTATTTCCACTGGCTCTGTAGTTGTTAAAATTTCTTTAGCTTCAATACATTTATCATTTTCTTCAGTAGCTTTTATGTCTTCCTTACTATTAGATAGACTATTTGAAATGTCTTTAATTTCAGGTTGATGAGTTGTTTGAAAAACTATTTCATCTTCTTGCACACTAGACAAATCTTTTTTTTCTATCTTTGGATTTGGAATTGTTTTCTTTTCAGGTACATCTTTTTGCGAAGTTAATATTGACAATATTTTATCATTTAACCAGACAGGATTGGAAATTGTGCAGTCTACATAAGTATCCAGTTTCTTAGCAAGGATTCTTATAATGAGTTCTGAATGAGGTGTATCCCACAACTCCCAAGAAACAAGCTCTTTCAAAACAAGTCTCAAAATATTTACACAGTGATCGGCTACAGCAGTCTTTTTATTTTTAAGATCAGATATTCGATGAACTTTCTTATATAGTGATTCTACTGATTTTTCAGAGGACTTTTCATGTCTTTTTAATGCATTTTTATATTCCTTTAAGTGACTTATTAGGATTGCACATACATCAACATAGACATCTTTAGTTTCTATTTTATTGCTAATCTAAAAACAATATTTTCATATTTCAATTGTTTAGAAGGCTAAACTGAAGTAAACAATGAATATTTACCTGAAATGCTTTGCTGATCATCTGATCCAACATCTGTTTACAAGCAAATGGGAAACTTATTTCTTGTGATATGTAATGAATATACCATGATGATACTAGTTTTCTTTCTAAAACTGATGTTATTACACTTAACTCATTGGTATCATACTCCTTGCAATCGGGAAGAGTTTTAGATTTCTTCGAAATTAAGGGCAGAACTTTGACTAAGAAGGCTGAGTAAGGATATTTTTCAATGATAGACTCCAAATCGTATTTCAATGGTTTATTTAGATGTAATAACCATTGAATTATTTTAACACTAGATATAATAGATGCAACAAATAAAAAGATAGTATACGCAACAAACCAATAACCGGTTAGTGGTGTTATATTAGTGGCATAATTGAATAACACGCAGAGTAATGTTGAACAAGAAGATATAATTGTGACACTTTCTAATAAATTTCTTTTCATTATCATTTTAGCAAGTTATTGTAAATATTAGTTATATTTTGTGCAATGTTTTTAAATTTTAATTAAGGTACCTACAACAACAACAATTTGTGAACTGTCAACTGACATTAGACATATGACAAAATCGGAGCTTGATGGAACATAAATTATTGCCGACAACTGAAAGTATAGCAAATAGTATAATATATAATTTACATACAATAGTTGTAATTAGTCTAGCCTAGAATCGAGTTTATCTGTGATAAACCGAACTCCATAAACGAGATGTCATGACTCATGTTCATTCTGTAACAGTGACACAACGTCAACAACGTCAACATTAAAAAAATTATATCCATTTGATTGCATTGCCAAATGCCAAATCACAAAATATGGTACACAAACTTGAAACTTGAAAGTGAAACGTCCCAACTTTTTGTGATTCTCGTTCCTAACCTACTACTATTTGTAAAATCTGTTGTATTAAAAATAACAGTTACAAAACATTAAAGTAGTTCTTCATTGTGTGTAAATTTTAAAATGTAATAGATTTTGTCAGTGTCAATTTCTTTTTAAAATTGTTTTACAAACTTAACAAATCCTTTTCATTTGCAGGTCTAAAGTTACATTCAAGATAACGCTTACTTCAGATCCGAAGCTGCCTTTTAAAGTGTAAGTCTATTGTACTGCAAACCTTTTATATCATTGATTACAATGTTAAAATTATTTTTTCAATGAAATAGCCAGTCTTACAGATTTTAGCAAATAGATATTCCGATGGAAACGGCTGTGTGTCAACAGTTTTTGAATGTTTTCCAAGATTACTTAAATCTGTGCCAGTTAGGGAACTGGCCAAATAATGAGACATGCTGTACGGAAATAAAAAATGCTTTTTTAATAACCATTCATATAGAAAAATGTCTAGATAGATTACAACAATTGGCACTCATTGATGATTTCTTAGCTGTCTTGGGCAACTCTAGTGATAAACAAGATTTTGTTCTTAAAAATTGTTTGGGCGATCCACCAAAATTTATATTAAGAAAAATCATTGCCTCTTCAGCAAAAATAGATATATTAGATTCTGCTTTCAAAATATTTTTAGAGCTATTTTCAGCAGAAAAACTTGAATCATATTTATCAGATTTAATGTTAGAAGCATCCTCAATACAGATGCTTTTGTGTAATCTGTCTGTACAAATTCCTAAAGATAAATTATTGGCTTTAAAAAGTAAGTTTATTTTATCAGAATTATATGAGATGGAAGATAGTCAAGTTGTTGTAATTGACATGCTTAACAATTGTACTAAAGATGTATTAGAAATGTTAATTATTAGTATGCTGAATAGCAGTATTGAGTTGTCTAATACAGTAAATAGTATTGTAAATGCATTTTTAAGTGTTATGACTATTAAGAACTCCACTAAAAAGTTATTTTGGAAAATGCTTCTTGACACTAAAGATGTCCATCTTTTAAAACTGTGTTTGAATCATGTAGATTTATTTAGAAAAATATCTAAAGCTTTATTTGACTGTGGCAAGTTACTCAGAGAAAATATGTCTGCTGAGTTTTTTTATATAGATTTAACATATTCAGAATTAATCAGAATTACAAAAAAAATTTGTAATAATGATAATTTAAAGAGTGAGTTCATGGGTTTTGTCTTTGAACTTAATGAGGATGTAAGCTTTTGGGAAAACCTTTTACTCTTACCTTAAATCATTGTTTATAAATATTGTTTGTTATAAATATATACTTAAAGGCAAATCATTGTTTCATTTATGTAAAAAATTTCCATATTTTAAGATTTTATACTGTAAATTAGACAGACCATCATACAAGTAATAGGGAATGGGAAAATACAATTTTAAAATTAATGTATATTATAATATTAATAAAATTTTCAGACTTAGTGTACCAGAGGCAACACCATTCACGGCTGTGCTAAAATTTGCAGCAGAAGAATTCAGGGTTGAGCCTGCAACCAGTGCAATAATAACAGATGATGGAATTGGAATAAATCCTCAACAGAGTGCTGGTAAGAATAAAAAGATATTTTTAAGGATTTTATCTTAATAAAGTACTTTATTGATTATGGTTAGCGATAAATAAAGCCTGAGTTCAGGTATTTCGTTTAGTTCAATAAACAGCCAAAATCTAAGAATCTAATTTCTTTTCAGGTAATATTTTCCTAAAACATGGTTCTGAGCTCAGATTGATACCCAGAGATAGAGTGGGTCTCTCTCCTTAATATATTCTCACATTCCACATTAATTAGACTAAGTTATATTCTTGAAATGTGACATTTAAAATCTATTCTTCAAAAATTTTTTATGGTGTATATACCTATTGCTATCAAGTTATTTGTTCACAAATATTTTCTTTGTTATGTATTTATTTTAATGAAAATATGTTTAAGCCTAAAATAAAATGCTTATTTTATTTTTTGTTTTAATAAATAAAATGCTTGAAAACTAAGTATTATAATTTTAATTACCTTTACTTATAAGCAAGCTAGTAACTATATAATAAAATAATATGCTTAATCTAGCCTCATCAAGGGTTCTGTTACTCTAAGGAATGTCTTTTCAAACTCCATTTCAGAAAAGCGGTCTACAGATGCCCTGAAATATAAAATATAAGATTATTTTTTTTTTTTTTTTACCCTTTTATAGCATTCTTATAATATTATTAAACTAAGGTATTATCAATTATATTGAATAAAATAAGTTTATAAATTTCAGTTAAAGTGCCAAATACCAAATTAAGAATTTATTCATATGTATTACAGCTAAGAGTCACTTACCTTGCTGCTTCAATTATGTTGGTTCTTTCATGTGTTGGCAGAGCTATTATTTCCAATATTGCCCTTGCATATTCATCAGGTTCAGCAGCTAAGAATCCAGTTCGAGAGGAATGTGAAGGCTCAATGATGTCAGCCAGAGGTCCTCCAGATCGATGTGCTACTGTGATTAGACCGGCAGCCATACATTCAACGACACCTGAGAACAAAGTATAATTAAAACCAGAAATTAAATGGCATGGAAATTATCAAAACAAAATTTGATCAAAATCCATAAAAAAACGTGTGGCACTCGGGGACTGCGGCGGTAAAGCTATTGGCATAGCATTTTTTTTATCAACTTATACAATTCTAATTATTAATTTATTTTTATTTATGCAGTATTTTTTTTTCTTTGATATTCAATCTACCACTGTACCAAACTCAAGACTAACACGCCTATATAGTCGGTCTCACTCAAACTCGTACCGGCTGCACCGGCCGCGCTTACGCTACATCACCGATTTCGTCAGAGATGTGAATACGCAGTATGCGTTCTGTCCCACTCTAACGCACCTGCGCTACGTCACCGATCACGCCAGACCGATGTGAGACGCAGTATGCGTTCTGTCCCGCTCTAACGCGGCCGCACCTACATAACGTCATCGTGTGTTAGGTTTTTATTTTCGTTACAGAATTTCTTGATTCGGTCGCCGCGCTCAAAGCTATGCAATAGCTTAAAAACTAATATATAAGGTGAATCTTTACTAAATGATGAAGAACCGTGTTAATGCCACTATTTACTTATTTATAATTATTAACGATGCTGCAAGCTTACTTATTCCAAAATGTTCATTCCACATAGCGTGAATAGCCATAGATGAGGTCTGGTACAGCTGAAGAAGCTGCGCGTACGATGCATTCACTACGAACTGAACGTTATCCTCTATAGACAGGTGTTTTGCTAAATCCCGAAGGTTCTGCACTCTCTCCTTGTCCTCGTCATTGCGACATGATCCAACTAATACTAGCTTTATCTAAAATTGTAAAAAACATGTAAAGATTTCGAAAAACTTGGCACCTGTAATTTATATTTAACAAGCTAATATCCGCCAGTTCTCCACACAGTAATACTGTTATGGATCGACTGAAATGTTTCTCGATATTTCCACAAGTAAGAAACGTTTTCAGCAAACCGAAATAGGTATGTTTCAAGACATACTAGAAAATTTGAACTGATGAAACATATTTTCATACTGTTTCAGGGCAAGTGTAGTCGATTGGTACAGTTTCAGCATATCTTTTTTCAGGACTGGTAATACCCCTTTAATGAAGGAATATTTATATTCCAGATGTGAGACAAGGACGAATGATACGCAAGAGAGTGATGATCGGAACCTTATCGAAGCGATGCGCGAAAGAGATAGCGTACGTTCTAGAATTATGATTTGTGGGATAAGGATAGAAAACTGGCTACTTTGTACTCAGTAACAATCCTGCCTAGAAAGTCCTCGAATATCGTTCACGATTATATATTCTTCGCGACCATATAATAAAGATACGAGTGCGTTTCCGAGAGATTAACATAACAATACTATAATGAGAAAATAGTAATGTTCTTTTCTGTTCTGAAGTGATGGATCAGTAACCATTAGCATGAGGTAAAAGCCAATTGAAATCAGATTATGTATTTCAGCAAGTTAGTAATACCTTATTCCACAGCATCTCATTATTGACCAGAAGGTTCCGCAGCTCATACATTGCTTGGAGCATCAACGGATGATCTTTCTCTGGACGGAACTGTGCCACAGACAGGATTCTAATTGGATCCGAATCCTTGACTAGAGATCGAAGTTTTTTCAATTCTGCTACCTAAAAATTATTTAAATCAAATATTAATAGAAATAATAGGTATGTCCTGTATGTTATCCTATTAGAATAAGAAAATATTAGAGCATGATGATCTGTTTAGGCTGTGAAGCACGTGCTAGATTTCGTAAGTGTATGCATGTTTGTCCACCTTTTTTCGGAAACTAAAAAATAATTACATCAAGATGGTAGCATGGGTTTCTAAAACCTATGTAAATTATTGTCAATATTGTTATTTTTTTGTTTAGTTGACACGTGTTTACATTTTTTCTTTATTTAAATATAATTAATATATGTATATTATTAATAACAAGGTGTTTACCGCGTTATCCCACTTGAACCTCCTTCAACATAGAGGCATTAGAACATTATTTTGTATTATGTAATTTATGTCTTCTACAGTTTAACGTAATTCATATGTCTATGCTCTCTGCTCTTGTGTGATAAAGAGGTCAAACAAAATGTTTTTGGTGAAAAAAAATTATGTGCACACTGTGAGAGAATATATTTCCAAGAATATTTTATCTTATTAATAGTGTATATTGACGATCTGCTAGTTCTTTAAATTTTTAGACACAATACTTACTTCACAAGGTGGGTAGACCCTGTGAGTGCTCAATGGTATGTCCCAGAGTTCGTTGATGTGCTCCTCAGTCCATGTGCCGTTTACCATGACAATATCAGCACATCTTCCAACAACACTATATAACTAGACAATCAACATTATTTTATCAATTGATACTAATATAATATAATACTATCAACTCATACTAGCTTCACATGGGTGGTACATATTTTTTAATATTTTCATAATATTATTGTTACCAATAGGTAGCATTCTAATTGTGAAAGAATTGTTCAAATTGGTATCAAGTATATTGAGTTTATTGACAGAAAAATACAACGTTTTCCTATTCATAATATTAGTATATAATCTAATTATTAGTCTTACTGCCAGAGTTATATTGACAATATACATCATAGTTTGTCAAAGCACTTAAGCAATAAAAAAAAATGTATATATTCAAAGCAATCATATTAAATACAACAATACATATAATATGATACTAAACAGCTTACCCATCCAAATATTCTGTAGTACATTAATTTACACCATGTAAGAATAGGATTCCGAGCAATAACACTAGAGTTATTATAGGATGTAATTCTATGTTTGACCCTGCGCATCATGGCTGATGTTATTGTTGGGTAGTGTGTGTAACATCCTACTGGACATTGAGCAAGATATCGGAAAATAGGGTAGGAGAATGCAAAGCCTGTTGTGTCTATATAGATATCTGGAAAAGAAATATGTAGTAAAATTAGTAAAAAAATGTGTGCAGATATAATCGGTTGGGGAAAGCCTTGTTGTATATAGTGAGTATGTGGAATTGATGTCATTAAATGTTACATTTTATGACATCAATTCAATTAAGATGTTCTTTATGACAATTTTTTATGTTTTTTCTAAAACAGGCCCATTACTTCACTAATTTTCTTCTTTTTTTATAGACCCCAATAATTTTTCAAACTCTCATTTATAGCTACAAAGTAGCAGGATAAAATATTTATTTATATTCTCAAATTTTTTTATATTTTTTTTTTTAATCTCATTTTTTTTCAAAAATTTTTCCTACAAAATCTTGTTTGATCAAAAGTCCCCTCTTTCCACATTTCATAACAGGTCATCATTATTACTACCAGCTATTTATTTATTTTTAGTTAGTTAATATTTATGTAATTTAACAGACATATTGTCCTACAAATTCCGTACTTATCCTGGTCCTACCTCAAAAGTAGTAGTACAGATCCTTGATGTAAAAATAATTACTATCAAGCTGAATCTTCTAATAGCTTCTTTCGATGAGTCGCCCAACAATTTCCTATGCGAAAATTCTCAATTATGGTAGCTAACAGAGGTAGCAATGATAAAATATGTCTGGTTTCTGTATTTTGCTACTACAGCTGAGTCACACCGTACGGCGGTACGCATGCGCAGAGCATTGCTTACTCGAATTAGGTATCCCACGTTAGTGTCGACCATAAGCCTGCAAACATTTTCTCAGTCGACCACGTGTTTTATTTTATTTTGATAAATAATTTCAAGAAATGTTTTTGTGCTGCAAAATAATTATGGAGTGTTTTTGTGTAATTCGTTATGTGAAAACTCTACTTTTCGAGAGAAAAAGTGAAGAAATTAAATAAAGACTTTTGGCTTTCTTGCAAAACTTTTCTATCTCTCAAAGCATCATCAACATAAATATCGAGATGTTATATTACCTGAAAATTGGAATGACGAAGTAATAGGTTATCATTCCTCTTTTACAAAGAATTTCGAGTGAAATCTAAATATTTGTCTTATGAAAGGTAAGTCGATCGAATATTTACTTACTTTTATTTGAAAATAATTGAAACATAATTTATTAAGTTCATATTTTTACGTAATTATGTAAAATCGAGCATTAGCATTGTAACATTCTATTGTAGCATTGTATTATTGTTACATTCTTTAAACAATAATTTTTGATAGTATATTATATTTACAATAAATTATTATTATTATTTTTTATTGTATATTTTATTTTAGAGTCAGATATCACAGTGAAGAAAGTGAAACAGATGAAGATGATAGCGATGTTAGTAGCGAAGATTTATCAGATGAATCTATGAAGATTAACTTCTTTATATATGAATACACAAATTTTTGTACCTAGATTACTAAAAAAAAAAAAGTTATTTAAATTTTAAAAAGATTTTTTCACTGTATCTTATTTTACAAATAGGAAAAGGAAAAATTACAATTCTTGTCGGACTAGTGATACATACCTGTTTTCTTGTAGGACGTTGTTTCATTTGGGCAGAGAACACACTAACCTACTATATGATATTTTTGTCCTACAGTTAGTAATGAGAAAAAATGGTCTTGTGGAATTAACAATTTCTGAGCGTAGGACTGGATAACGTACCCCAATTTGTAGGACAATATGTCTGTTAAATTACATAAATATTAACTAACTAAAAATAAATAAATCAGCTGGTTAGTAATCATTTATGATGACCTCGTTATGATACATGTCGGAAAGAGGGGACTCTTTGATCAAACCATAGATTTTGTAGGACAAATATTTTTTCGAATAATTTAGATAATTGTCTTGAGATTTAACAAAAAAAAAATCAGTTAGTAATAAATATTTGAGAATCATCAAATCAACATATTTTATCCTTCTACTTCTGTTAGCTACCACAATCGAGAGTTTCGTACAGGAAATTATTGGGCGTCTCATCAAAATAAAGCTACAAAAATTAGTGAAGTAAACAAAATACGACTATTACATCATAGATGAGAAATTAAAATTGACCACTAAAAACCAGTAGTACAGAAGTTGCTGGAATTTGTCAATGGGCAAGGTCTTTTGTTGCAATAAAACTAGACCACACATCTTACACCACACAGCAAAAATTAAGAGAGATTGTCTGGAGACTGTTAATGCATCATTTAGAATCTGAACTTGCTTCTTCAGGTTTTACACCTGTTTTAGTCTCTTTAGCATTCTTTAGCCAGTGTCAGGTCAAGATAGAGGGAGGGCTGCCAAAGTCGTTGTAGATTTTTTTAGTGATACATGTTACCTATACGATGAATTGAGATGTTAAATATTAAAAGGTACATAAATAGAATAAGAAATTTTATCACAAGACTATTTTAATTTGATATTGATGAAGTAACACAAAACTAGCTACAACTTTCATAAAGTAAATTACATAAACTTTCATACAGTACAGTACCTGGATTAAATTTAAGAAATGCCTCCATTCCCAATACCATGGATCCCAAACTTTGCATGAGCAGAGTGAAGTAGGGGTATGACTTTGCTTCAATCGCCTTTCTTAAGGTCAGTCTTATGAAGTTTATACTATTTAAATCAACCTTCACATTGAACTGGTTTTGCACTTTATCTAGTATTGTTTTAGGTTCTGCTGTTTCTAGTGTATATATGTAAATATGGGTGTCTGGATACCTAAATTTAATAAGTTATCCTTAAACTATGGGAACATCTAGAAATGTCATAGTAATCATAATAGATTAAAAAACATACCTAGTCAATATAGCTTTAATAGCCACCCATAAAACTCTTTCACCACCTCCACCCGCATTGCAATACGGATGAAAGAATGCCACATTAGCACCATCTCTCTGTCTCCTCTGAAGTTTCCTTTCCTTGATCTTCATGTACCATGATGCAAATATAAATGCGCATGGTACAATAACAAATACTCCAAACAAGAGTACTCCTAAGAATAATGCTGGTAAGACGATAACCAAGCTGAAATATTTACATTATAATAAGAGCAATATCAGTATTTTCTGTGATTACCGCTTAATTTCAGAGTCACAATCAAGCGTTTTAATGCCTGAATTCTATGTGTTTTTATCAATTAATGAAGATCAATTAATAATAAAAAATACAGATGAATCCTTAGTACACTTACGTAAATATTTCCCAAAACATGGTATCTTAAGACCAGCCGGTGTCTTCAGATTAAATATATTGATAAAATTGAAGGTTCATGGATCTGATTGAGTCCCTTAAATCATAATACTTATAAAAGTTATATTAACAATACAATGTCGTCTTTAAACATTATTTTATGTATTAAGACGTATTAAATTATTTAAAAAAATTAAATATTGCAGCAGCCAGCAAGATATTGCGGTAAACTGATGACTTAATGAATAATGACTTATACACAGATGACAGCACAGAACACTATTACTTCTCGAAGTATGATGACAGAAGACAGAACCAAATTACTCAAAAGGTGATCATTTTCTGCATTCAGGAGGCTTGCGTCAATCACTTTTCGACAGGCATGACCAACTAACGCCAAAGGAATTTGTTTAAAATGACTTAAATATAAAATATGTTTATTATGGAACATAAGATATCACTTATCATTATCAACATGACAAAGACCCAGGTGTAAAATAGCTATACATACATACTAATCTTACGTTAACTAAGTATAGCTTAAAATTTGAATTAAATGATCTAATAATGCATCATTATCATCTTCAGAAATGTACGCTTAAATTTATCAGTTAATATATGTTGGGACATAGAAATGAATATTCATGAGTTTGGATATTTTCTTTATTCAATGTCACAATAAAGGGTTTTTCAGAGTAATCGTCAATGCGTAACAGTCAACGTCACTCACGTGACACAAAACAGTAGTTAGCCGAATCGACGATGTCGTAGCATGCTTGTACTAATATTCTCTGATTTTTCTTTCAGTAGAATTCTGACATTTCATAAGTGTTGCTGCTAAAAAACATCTTCACCGAAAAAGGGACAAATTTGACTTATTTCAGGGGAATCAAAAAATACTACGTATTTTATATGTTTTACCTACAAAAAGGTAAATTTAAATATTTACTTACTCCAATGACCCAATACAAAAATAACAAACATTTCAATATCACGAACAATATATCGAATTAACTTTAATTACTTTGTTTTATTCTTTAGCTGGCATCACTGCTTACTAATTCCAGGTTTAGTAAACCTTTAAAAAAAAATGTTATCTTTACTTATTCTTTGTGCGTTTTTTACTGTTTGTAATGAAAATGGACGTAATTATCACTCGCCGTTAAACCACTTGTAATGTGGAGCACCGCACTTAATAAAATGGATACATTAACTAACAATAAAATGTATGTATAGACTCGTATTGAAATTGAAAAATGTGCCCGGCCAAAAAGGTTTACCATCTCTGAAATGTCAAAAAATTATAGCTGTCAGGATTCTACGGAATTAAAAATCAGAGTATAGTATGTCTTCTGAGTTTTTAGGCAATAGTATTAGTTTTACAGTCACTATTAAAATCTGAAATGGTTTTGAATTTTTTTTTAAATAGCCTACTAAAATGACTTACAAATTTTATATGAAAACTATTCACATCACAGACTTTATAGTAAACTTTATTTAATAATTTTTTTAGCTATAGTACCAAGTCTAAATAGGCTTTCACGACGTCCGAGTAAATGCACAATAAGCATCACGGGTTCCTCTACTATAGTAGGTAATCAAAATTTCTGTATAATGTCAACAATAAGTTCAATAGTTGGAATAAATAACATTAATAGAAATGTAGAATATTATATCGATATTTTTTATACAATGCATACACTAAAACTAAGTAACTAAAATACCTACAAGGTATATCTTATTAATGATCCATCGAAGTGTGCTAAAATCACTAACATTTAAACTAATATACAATTCAGGTAAAACACAAAGTTTTTTACCTTTTCAACATAATTCTTGTCCATCTTGACCATGCCAATTTTATTTGTCTATAGATATTAAAATGTACAGTAATCCCTCCTATAAGTAGGTATGGTTCCGCGTTGTAGGAGCATTCTCCCATAACGCGCATGTATAACGCGTTATGTATTATGTCTGTACAAATCATTATAAATGTCACAGTACAGAAATATAACGTATGGATCCCCGCGTTATATCGGGGAATACGTGTTATACGAGGGACTGGCATCGCGTAATATAACCGTGTTATAAGGGGGTTTACTGCACTTTGTAAAATATTTTTCTTTCTGTGATAATTTTTGTAATACCCTAATACTTAATCCAAAAAATCTGTTTTCCATAATTTTAACAAATAAACCATAAGTTACAAGGCGGTATCTACACAGATACATCTATAAAAATATTAAGGTAGTTCTTCTCTATGGTCTCTTTGCTCTGTGACTTCGGCAGCAAGATCTGCGAATTTGGCGACATAGTCCACGCTCGACTCCGCCATTAGAGAATGTAGCTGCGATTCCACCTTTATCATAATATCAATATTTTAAGATTTATTTCAAATGATTTAGCTGCTAAATAATTTAAGTATTTTATTCAGAAATTTATATCTAAGGCCCCTAAAAACTGAAATTTCTTCCAAGTAGACAATTGAGGACAGTCCATTGTTTATTTGTCTATAGTCTATCGGCAATTCACTTGGTAACATTTTTTACCACTAGACAGTATAAGGAATTCCTTAAGTATTTACTAATTCGATGAATTTAATATATTTAAATAAATACCGCAGTATCCGGATGACGTCCTTCCAGCTGGTTGAGGAACGAGCTGAGAGAGAAATCTTGAACGGAGCCTTCGAGCCATCCTTCTGCATCACGCAACAGTCGGGACGGAGACAGTGACATTGACTCGGATGTTAGAAAACCTTAGAAAGTGTTTATATTCCTTAATTCATTCCATCAGTCGCTATTTTTCTTAATACATCTTAACTGATATCTAACCTAACTTAAAACTAATATATATACATTATAACTATATTATGTGTGTTATCATGGAATCGGCAGCTTGGCGATTATTTAGCAATTTACTGGAACTACGCGTGCATTTGTCAACCCGTGTAACCTCATTTGAAGTTATATTTCTTTTTGCGCGCATTCCATCAAAAATACCGACACCCTGAATATCTATTCAAACGTCGGTAAAACAGTCTGGGCCGCTAGTTGGCGCTTGCTCTGTTTTATCGACAAGTTGTCTATCATGACGTAGTGTTTTTCAGTCGTGTTTTTTTAAACCAAAATAATGATTTCTATTATAGAAAACCCGTTCCAATGTAATAAAAAACAGTTTTTATTTTAAACATCATGATTAGTACATATTATATTGTTTCGATTGGAAGTAACCATTAAAATCGACAAGAAAAATGCAATTCGAAGAGGTAAACGTCATAGTATGAGATCCGGCTACAGGATTAGTGCGTTCATCGGTTATTTGCTAAAACCAAATTTTTAAGTATATTTATAATTAGGACAATATATAGTAACCAAGTTGCCTATCAAAATTTGGCCGCTAGTTTTTTTAATGTAATTATTTTGAATTGATTTTTGGGAAAAAATTTCGTGCACTTGTTTATTAAATAAAATTATGTCTAACGGCAATTTACAAAAAGATTTTAAAAATTCACGGTTGCGGTTGCGCACCTGTACGTGCGCACTCGAACCGAGGACGAGATGAGGATAGCGAATACAATTTAAAAAAAAAGGGTGCGTGTACTTATGTACGCGCGTAAGAAGTTATACTTCTTTGGCTTTCTATATTTTTTTTAAATATTAAATAATTAATAACAAATATTTAACGTTAATAATTTAATAATATTTAATATTTAGTATATTATTCAATTATTAATTAATATTAATAATAATTATTATTTTATTATATTATTCATTCAATTTAATAACTACGTATGTTTCATAACCTTTTAACTAAGTAACAATAGGTATTTGTGAAAAAGCATTGCTAAATTTCTTAAAAAAAAAATATGAAAACTCCTTTATTTGTTTAAAAGGTAAATGTCATTATGTTCATTCAAAATTCTTGGCATAGCTGCTAACTTCGCACATATTCTATTTCTTTTTACTTGTAGATTGTCTTATTCCCATCTCGCTCGCGCACGCTATAATCACATTGACAACTTTGTCTCTCAGGTGCGCGCGCATCGTAAAATTTCACTCTCATAAATTTTTCATAACGCGCCTAAAGAAGTATAACTTCAAAAATAGTTTGAATGCATTCTCTGTTACTAGATTGGTGAAATTAATTTAGTTCCAATTCAGTTACAGCTCAGTTATCAAACTATTATGAAAAACTCACTCGTCATGTCGGTCTGTTCCGACTTCATCGAGGAAGGTGCAGAGCTCAATTCTTTCGACTTGTCTGTCGCCCCATTCTGGCTGCTCGCTTTTTCTTTAACATCATTGGTATCTTCTCCATTCATTTTATCTGAAGTAAAATAAAGTAAAAAATCATTAAATCATGTAGGTAACATAATGTACACTTATGACTAGTCAGTAAAGAAATACATATTAATGCTTCTAATTTTACAATTTACTGCAAGTTCTCAAATCAAGGGCGTAGAACGGAAGAGAAGAACTGGCAATAAACCCTCCACCATTCTTTTTAATCGCCATTTTTTTTTACACAACGTTTGTAAGGAGCTGCAACCATTACATACACAACATTAATATATAGATTTCTACAGAGTTTAGACTATTTAAAAGAGAACTCAAAAATGGATTTATAAATTGTTCGTTTATATGTTAAAGTTTATATATCACGCAACCTAGAGAGCTGTCTATGGTGCTCCCCACCACTTCCCCGATATGCTTTTAGCTGGTAACATTATGAAGCATTATTATTAGCATGTTCTGTTGTAACTCTGATATTAAAAAACAAAGTAAGTTAAATTAAATATATGAGCTTGTCACAGCGTATTGTCACTAATACCAACATTTAAAACTCAAAAAAAGGAAATATTAAATATGGCAAAGATATTAATAAATCCATTACCATGGTCTTCATCTTCTTCTGGTGGGTTTATGGGAATCCGACGATCTCCGTCGTGGAAGAAGAATCGACCGTTCGACTCACTCAGTACGTAGTAGGCTGATAAACTGAAACAAGTATTTTATAAGTGAAAAGGGAATAATGCAAAAGCTATAAGTTGGGTTTTTCGTTTGAAGTTAAATTTCTTATTTTTGAAGTTATACTTATTTTGACGCGTTAGGGAAAATTAATAAGAGTAAATTTTTACGATGCGCACGCACACTGTCACAAAAAACCGACACCCTGAATATCGGTAAAACAGTCTGCGCCGCTACATATATCGTTTCGATTGGAAGTGACCATTAAAATGGATAAGAAAAATGCAATTCAAAGAGGCAAACGTCCCTCTAAAGTGCTCGAAGAAAATTATTACGCCAAAGAAGTGTAACTTCTAACGCGTGTACATAAGTACATACACGTTTTTTTATAGTAATTACTCACTCAGCAGTGGATGTAGGCGGCGGAGGAGGCGGTCTGGGCAGAATCCTAGGTGGGGCAGGCGCAGACGAATGCGGGACTAGTTTCACTGGGATCAAATCTGGAACATAATTGCACATTTCACCATGTAATATATATTTAGATATATAAAACTCTTAGTTATAGGTAAGTGGCTCAGCAGTTAACTTTAACGATTCAGAGTTAATAATACTAATTAAAAAACCAAACGAACTACGAATAGCGTTCAACAGTTTTATCTCCACTGCCTTAATATGGGTATTATGTCTCAAAAACTACTGGACTACTGGTAAAGTTGAATAACTTATGCAATTATAATTATTTTTTCTTTGTGCAGTATTCTTTTTTCTTTAATATTAATTCAATCACTACTCTACTACTCTACCAGACTCAGACTAACACGCCTATATAGTCGTCTCACTCTAACGCGTACCGGCTACACCGGCCGCGCTTACGCTACGTCACCGATTTCATCAGAGATGTGAATACGCAGTATGCGTTGTCCCACTCTAATGCACCTACGCTACGTCACTGATCACGCCAGACCGATGTGAGACGCAGTATGGGTTCTGTCCCGCTCTAACGCGTATTGGCCGCACCCACATTACGTATTGGTGTGTTAGGTTTATTTTCGTTACGGAATTTGTTAATACGGTCGCCGCGCTCAACGCCCGCGATAAAATCTATGCAATATCTAAATAATTGATGAAGGACAAAAATGCTGTAAGAATAAATAAAAAATGTACTCACTGCTGGTAGGAGGCAACTTGGGCAGAAGAGGTAACAGTCTCTGAACGACGACCCTAGGGCTGTCCCGCTCTGACACTCTGGGTCTTCCGCGACGACGGCGCGGTAGCCCATCTAGGCTCATGGCACTGCTCTTCTGAATAGGATAAAGATAATTTATTAAAGCAGGGCGCTTAAGAAAAATTTATGCTATATTAAACCGCCCTCCTTTACATTTAATTATGTTAATTTTTTATATTGTAATGCAACAAAGCGTAAATAAATAAATATATGAAACAGAAAACATAAGTATGTACAATATATAAAAAAAGGGTGCGTGTACTAATGTACGCGCGTAAGAAGTTATACTTCTTTGGTATTATTAAAAATAGATTTTGTTTGCATGCAAATAATTAATTACAATTAAATAATCAAAGACTGGAAAAGGAGTCATTACAGTCAATAAAGTTCAGTTACATTTTAAAAATTAAATAAATAAATATTTTTATTATTCTCTTACATTAAGTGTAACATAAATTCTATTATTATTCGAATGTTGTTTTTAAATTATGTCCTATGCCGTAGCATCTTCCGTGGGCAACTTCATACTGATAATTTTGTGTAACGGTGCGCGCGCATCGTAAAATTTCACTCTCATCAATTTTTCATAACGCGCTTAAAGAAGTATAACTTCAAAAAAAGAAAATAAAATTAATTATGACATTTAAAAAAATCTAGCCTCTTTGAAAATCTCCTCACATCCTCTTTGGTGAGGTGTAAAATATCAACATCCTTACAATTAGTGTTATAGTCAGATAAAACCCGAAACTTTGGCGAATTATGCAAGGTAGGTACTTCGTACGAGGTACATGGAACAACTAAGTGTATCTTGTCGCATACGGTGGATTATACTTGCCTCAGTAGCACAAGGGCGTGGCGCGATGGGTGTCGGGTGACGGAACACCGAGTTGTAATCGTTTTTCGGTATTAAATTCGGCGGTTCTTGAGTTGGGTGCGGCTGCGATTTCTGGAAACGGCAAATTGAGAAAGCATTAGTTGAAATCTAACTTTTTTCTATAGGATAGGGGGGCAAATTAGCCTACGGGGCGCCCAGAAAGGGCAGTCGTCGTAGACCATGGGCACCCATTTTAGCGGGTTCGATGCCGGTTTGACGGAGGGGGAGAACTAGAATGGTATTATTATTTTTATTTGACTATATTATAAAGTAAATAGTACAAAAAAGTTATTTTCTTTAACGGTTAACGGACGATAAAATACTAAAGAAAGCAAAGCCCTCGTTAAATGATAAATTAATCAATAAAGCTTTTTATAAATTTGAGGAATACTTAAATGATCCTAATCCTTGGGATTGATTTGCTCCAGTTCAAACAATTTGTATGACAATACTTGGCGATTAAAAAGAGTGGCGGAAAGTTCTTCTTACCCGCTCTACGCCCTTGACTTGCGAACTAGTAGTAAATGTAAATTTACAATTAATTTAACTTCTGTCTGACAATTCATAAGTGTACTTGTTTACCAACATGAATAAAGATAATTTGAGTTTGATATTTAACGTGGCAACACCATAACTCATAACAAAACATGATGAAGTGATTGCATACTTAAGTCTTCGAATAACACGGAAAGATTCGGCGCAAGTGTGCAATGATCGTAATGGGGCAATGAGTCATGTTTTTTAAAATTAAGAAATGGGTAGGCACGCAGGAATATATATATATGTACTAACGAGTAATTAGTGACAAGGCATACAGTAGCTTTGAAATCCTCAAACATTTGAACCTACCTGCGCTTGCTTTTTTGGACACACGTGTCCACAATTGCATTTCGACATTGGAGCGTTTGCAGCGGCTGTGATGTGAGTGTTGCCAGCTAACGCCAGGAGACGCTTTAATCTAAAACATATATCTGACATTATCGTACTTTATTCTAATATAATATACAATAACATATTACTCACCTATCACTGAGTAAAGAAAACCCTTGCGAAGCCTGGCTGGTTGGCTGATCAGCTCTGTTGATGAGTTTGCTGACCAGCTTTAGAGTACCCGAAGACTTGTGGTCTGGAGATGATAGAGCTTCACCTATAACGTTAATAAAAACACAAAACGACGTTAATGAACGTCAATTAGTTACAGAAGAATTTGTTTGATAAATCTTCAGGAATTTTACGTATACGTAAGTAATACGTAGTACATATATTATTTATAACAAAAAAACAATTGTACTAAAGTTATAGCCAAAGTTTGAATTCATAATATTCGTATATACTAAAAGGGTCAAACATTTGCTTGCTCCATAGGACAATCAAACTGAAAAGATCAAGTAGCTTTTTTTTTTTTAAATAAATGAACTTTGACGTAACTAGGTGACCAACTATACTTATTTACTAAGTTTTTTACTCTTTTTTTCGCAAACCGTACTCTTTTTAAATCCTGTACTCTGAGGCCACGTTCACACGGCGACCATTCGATTCGATTTTTTCACGTATACGACGCAATCGTTCACACGGCAACCATTCGATTCGATATTTTTTTCGATCAAGGAAATAAAATCCTCGATCAATATTGGAATTCTGTCCTCCATATTGACAACCGACTGATGCAACGCACAAGGGCAACTGTGGGCCACGCGTGCGAGTGCGTACGATTCTCGAATGGGCGAGTCGTGAGAACGAGACAACATGAACATAAGCGCCACTGCGTGTCATATTCGATGAATTCGTTTCGAGACGCGGCGTTTCCGGTGACAACTTCGCACGGTATACGGTAAAATATATTTCTCGAACACGGGATTTTCCCGTGTGAACGCAGTGTAAACAATTTTTAAGTTTTCATATATATTCTGTTGTCACTACTCTATTCGATAAAATCTCGTATACTGTAAACGGGACAATAATTGCCGTGTTAACGTGGCCTGAAAGTACTCATTTGTATATTTTAGTTTTAATAGAAATTTCGTTATATTGTCCAGGCACTAATGCTGCTGTTATAAGGGAATTTTCACTAGGGAATGATTATTGGAGCAGTGAGAAGTCGCAACTTTCTGTAAAAACATTATCTGCCGTCTTAACAGTCAAATTTCATATGCAAAATGAAACTTGTTCGGATATGGGTACATTATTAGACGAAAAATATGTTTTTAAAAGAAAATAAACTTTTTATCGTTTTTTCTTCTTTTTTTTCACCTATGAAATATCTGCAAAGTGAACTTTTTGAACAAAAAATAGTTGGTCACCTTATGTCAATTATTTCTTTTTTTATAAAATATATAGTTGCAATATTTGTAAATATGTGACCACCACGTATCTACATAATAATATAGTTATCTGCTGCATTGTTTTTTATAACACCATGCGCCTATTTTATTTCAGTATATTAGTTTGTTTCCTAGAAACTACATGGTCTTCACATATAATTATCAAATCAATGTAAACTAAATATTGTAAAAATTGTTTTAAAAGAGTAAGTATGGAGTTTAATACTATACCATATGAAACTACCTTTTGCAAGGAGCAACTGTAATTTTATTTCAATATTTTAATTTGTAATTTTGACTTTACAAAAAGAAAAAAATAATAAAAAATATTAAATTCATTTAACTCAGTAATTTATAATTCTGTGTTGTGTGATGATGAATATACACACAAAAATACGCAATAGCGTAGGTAAATATAATTTTCAATACTATACAAATATATTGCTAGAAAAATAACTTACATTTCCTCTCATCACCAGACATTCCATCGTTACTATCCTGGCTGAATGTGTTCTTGGGCGAAAACAATATATCTGTATCACTTTTGTCTCTCTCGTCTTCCACAGAACTGTCGCCTTTTTCGGGTGTTTTGTTACCCTTCTCCCTCTTGTCTATAGCTCTGTCCTTGTCTGTCTTGTCACTTTCGGATATTTTCTGAGCTTTGATTGGTTGCGGCAAAGGGGGCGTGGCTTCGGCCCACCAATAGTCGAGCTCCAATTTCGAACGAGATCCAAGCTGTAGTATCAAATATGATGAATTAGTAAATGTTAATAGAAAAAAAAGGATGCGTGTACTTATGTACGCGCGTAAGAAGTTATACTTCTTTGGCATTATTAAAAATAGTTTTTGATTGCAAGCAAATAATTAATTACAATTAAATAATCAAAGACTGGAAAAAGAGTCATTATAGTCAATAAAGTTCAGTTTACATTTAAATAAATAAATAAATATTTATTATTATTCTCTTACATTAAGTGTAACATAAATTCTATTATTATTAGAATGTTGTTTTTAAATTATGTCCAATGCAGCATCTTCCGTGGGCAACTTCATTCTGTAAATTTTGTGTCACGGTGCGCGCGCATCGTAAAATTTCACTCTCATCAATTTTTCATAACGCGCCTAAAGAAGTATAACTTCAAAAATATTCTTTATAAGATTTGTTGCAACAAGATTACTTTAAGATTTTGTTAATAATATTTTCAGATTTAATTCTGTTCGACAGTCCAATTCGAATGACTCACCATTAGATATAGGTCCCCAATAGTTAGATTTCCAGCGTCGTATTGACTCCAACCAGCGCGAATTTGTCGTATCGCTGTTTCTACGTCTATAACTGGCTTTATTTCCTCCTCACACTGAAAAAATCAGCCTAATTTAAGGCCTAATTTTATACTAAAATAATAAGTACAAACCTCGTACCGATATATCCTTACCAAGAAGAAAGGCACACAATTGTCAGACGTAAGGATATGGAGAAATTATTTTAGTTTGGGTACAAGAAGAGAGACAATAGTCACACAACAAACAAAACACTCATTACAAAATTATAAATTGAGGACGTAACTATTAAAAAAAAAATTGTGCGTGTACTAGGTGTACACACGTAAGAAGTGAAACTTCTTTATGATCTTATTTTTCGAAAAATGATCTACTATATGCAACTTTACAGAAATTTGTTAAATTAGATAAAGTTTAACAAAAGGCTTTTATTATCAAAGACATGAATACAAATATTTCATTTTACCTTATTACTACGAAGATAACTATAGAATTTCATTAATTGTAATAGAATTATTACTATCATTGAAAAACGTGACGATTTGCTACAAAATTTATCCCAAACGTCGATAAAGAAGTTTCATTCCAACGCCGATAAAGAAGTTTCACTTCAATTAATATAATTAACAAAAATGTAACCGTCTAATCCGAGTGAAACTATCAACTATCAAAAAATGTGACGATCGGCCGAGTTCAAATATTTTGATCGAACAGTAATATAAACTTAATAAACATCTGAACAAAATTAAATAAACTATGCAATAGATATACTACTATATTGGTCGACAAAATTGTTACTAAACGAATAAGAAAAAGTAAAATAATTTTAGATAATCATAATACCTTCGGCTCTTCCGCCTTTAACTCTTCGCTTTTGATTTCATCTGAACCTTGAACCAATGTATAGATACTGCCGCCACGCTTCTTTGGCCGAATTCGAAATTTTACCTGAAATTATGTCCAAAATGATGATTTCGTTTGCTCTTACATTTATCTACCATCATTTCTTAAATAAAAATCTTTTTTAGTAATCATAACAATAAAATATACAGTATTTACAATTTTCTTAACCTACATAGCAATAATAAAAATAATTAAAAAGAAAATTCAAACAAATTTTAAAAGTTTGGACCCTGTGGCAGCATTTCCTCGCTGTATTACGATACTTATTCGTCGAGCGTGGAAAGCACCAGCTCTTGGGTCACCGGTACTATGTACCAACTTCAATCTTTAGTTAGCGCCTGTGCACTTTAACCCCAAGAGTTTCTACTGGAAACCAAAATCGAAGTTTATAATTAAGTTAGTATCACCTACCTTAAGATGGTTAAACTTCTCCTTATCAACCCTTCCATCACTCTCGTTATCAGTGTCACTCTTATTATATTTCTCCTCATCCTCCATCTCAGAGAAACTATCTTTTTCCCTTTCCGACATAATGTTGTCTCTCTCCAACGGCTCTCCGTCTTCCTCGGCCGTTTCTTCGGCTTTCAAATCCTTTTCATCTTCACTGGGTTTTTCTTCATCGTCATGTATATTTTTAAAGTGCGCCATCAGCTCTATACCGTCTATGGCCGTTTCGTCAATATTTATCAACTTACTATCTTCATCTAATTTGATCTTTTTCGTCTCATCCTTGTCTTTTTCTGATGTGCTATCTTTCCTTTGGCGTTTTGGTGTTCTTATTTTTACTGGAATGTAACAGATATTTTAGAAAACAAAGTCGTATTAGTTGCACCACTTATAGCTCAAGAGCGGCTGGACCGATGTTAGTTATATCTTTTTTGGAGGATTCTTCTCCGCTCCGATAAGTTATCGAATAACAATAAGTAAATTAATTTTACGAATGCAAACAGCATGTGGTGCCATCTGTTGACAAAACTACGCATCATTTTACGTCGAATTTGTGTCAGTTCAAGAAATTCCGATCTTGAGAGGTCGTGTACTTTAATATTATTAAATACAATTATAAAATAAACTTAATGTACTCCGATCGAAGCATTTGTTTTAAACGATATTCATTTTTCTTACATCCTCTTTGACGATATTTGAAGCACGCATTATGTCAATGTTACGTCAAACGCCATAAGGTTACATCAAAAAAGTTTGAATTTTAAAGCGCTATGCGCTGTACAAAATAATTGCTATCGTAACAAAAGTTAGAATTACTTAATTTGGTGGTAAAGTATTCTAAAATTTTCTAATTTTTCGCGCAATTTTCTTAATCAAAAGAACCTTCTCCAAACAATAACAATCACAACAAAAAACGAATTAGCGAAATCGGTCTAGCCGTTCACGCGTGATGCCGTGACCAAGGGAAATAATTTTTTATATTTATTTTATATTGGAAATGAGTGAGAAAGAGCGAGGATACATAAATTCAACTCTTTCACACAAAATTATTAAAGAAAAGCAAATTGTTTATCTACTAACTTAACGAGTATTTTCTCACTCACATATGAAATTGGCGTTTTGTATGGGTGGAACAAAAAGTCGAATATTTTTAAATATAATATATTTAATTAATCAAAGTATGAACCATTGTTTTCTATGCACTTTTGCCATCTCATAGGTAGGTCATTGATCCCTTTATTAAAAAAAACAGTCGGACGGGAATCAATAAAATCTGTAAAGGCGATTTGGACTGCCCCATCAGAGTTAAATTTTTTCCCTTGCAAGAAGTTGTCCAAATTTCGAAAAAAATGTTAATCTGTTGGAGCAAGGTCCGGGGAGTACGGAGGATGTCTTAGACATTCCAATTGAAGCTCTTCTAATTTGGTAGCCGTCTGTTGTGCATTGTGTGGTCTAGCGTTGTCGTGAAGTGCCAGTGGCGTGGAGCCATTGACCAGCCTAGGTTGTTTAGCCGCTAGCTTTTCCATCATGGTTTGCAATTGCTGACAATAGACATCAGCCGTAATAGTCTGGCCAGATTTGAGAAAACTTCAATGAACAATACCGGCACTAGTCCACCAAACGCTTACAAGTAACTTTTTTGGGGTTAAATTTCGCTTGGGGCAGGATTTGGCTGGCTAGCCAGGATCTAACCATTGCGCTGAGCGCTTCCGATTATCGTAAAGAATCCATTTTTCATCACAGGTAATGATTCGGTTTAAAATACCTTCATTATTGTGCCGGTTCAGTAATGTAACGCAACAGTCGACGCGCGTTTGCCGGTTTGCTTCAGTCAATTCGTGACGTACCCATCTTTCAAGCTTTTTAATCTTCCCAATTTGCTTCAAGTGAATTAAAACAGTTTTATCACTAACACCGCAGCCTGCAACTAACTCGGACGTGGTTTACGATGGATCCGCTTCCACAATAGCCTTCAATACTTCATTATCAACTTGGGTCTCAGGCCGTCCACGGGGCTTGTTCTGCAGGTCGAAATTTCCAGAACGAAAACGTTGGAACCAAAAACGAACTGTGTTTTCTTTTGCAACATGACCGCCATACACATCATTCACCCTTCGAGTCGTTTCCGCAGCACTATTGCCACGGCGGAACTCGTACTCATAAATAATGCGATACTTTAAGTTTTCCATTTTGTAAAATGAGTGACGCAAACAGAAAAAAACAGAAGAAAAAAAACAAATGAATGACGGTCATCGAAGCACAAATACATGAGTAAATAGCTGTACAAATTTGAATTTGAAATTTTTTACCAAAGAGGAGAACATCGTGATTAAAGTGGCCAGTACGAAAACGCCAATTTCATATGTAAGGACCTAATATTAAAAAATGGAGACAAAAAAAATTCGTACCACTATCCTTGTCTCGAGGCAAAGATCCCATCCTCTCCAGGTAAGAAGAGAAGCAGATTTTCTGGCTGGACAATTGTTCGCTTGGACTGAGAACGGGTAAGTGAATCTCTGCTCCGGGACGAGGTCCGAGGTGTAACGCAAGCTTTTTTGGTAGTGTACCTTCTATATAATAGGTAAAAATAAATATATTTCAATGTAATTCTGCGTTCTTTGACCATAAGTCAACCAATTCTTAAAAGACGGCTAGCGCGCTTGCAAGCCTTCTGGCAATGCAAATGTCCATGGGCGGCGGTATAACTTAAGGGCCTTATCATGCTAGCGGTTTGCAAGCGGCTTTGGGGCGGAGCGGGCACGCAGCGAGGACGTCGCGCACGCGTGGCGGATATGAAACGTTTTCGCAGCGAGTTAACGACTCAGTTACAAAATGGGTTTTCAACAATACAAAAAATTGTTCGTGAGACATGTCAAGCTATTTTTAAAAACTTGTTCCATATTTGTATGCTACCCAAGAAAACAGAAGACTGGGAAAACATTAGCAAAGGCTTTCTAGAAAATGGTAATTTTTGCATAGGTGCAGTGGACGGCAAACATTACGATAAAGCCGTGTCATGGCGGCTCTCAATATTTTAACTACAAAAGTATTTCTGTATGAGCCGCCTGTGTCTTCAACTACAAGTAAATATTTGTTGATGTCGGTTCATATGAAAAAGTTCAGATTCAACTATATTTGGCAGAAGCCAATTGAGAATTAATATACATAGAATTAAATCGTTTAAATATCCCACAATCCAAACAAATAACAAACAAAAAAAAAACAATCTCGCATTCGTGTCGTTGATGTCGGTTCATATGAAAAAGTTCAGATTCAACTATATTTGGCAGAAGCCAATTGAGAATTAATATACATAGAATTAAATCGTTTAAATATCCCACAATCCAAACAAATAACAAACAAAAAAAAACAATCTCGCATTCGTGTCTCGTTACGAACTGAAGTGAGGCGGGGCGGACAGACTGGCGTTTGTACGAGACTACAAAATGGCGTCCACGCTGCTATTCGCGGCGGTTTCGCTGCGTGCCTGCTCGGCCCCGAATCCGCTCGCAAACCGCTTGTATGATAAGGCCTTAACATCAGATGAGCCTAATGCAACATAAAAAAAGCTGTTAATAAACAAATGATGTACCTCTAGCTATAATCCTGTCGATCTCCAAGTTGAGATGTGATTCAAGCTCGTCATTGCTCTCTCGTTCATAATCTTCATGGCTTAAATGATCTTTCTCTAATCCATTTGTAATAATGGATTCTTTGTAGTGCGACTGATTTATGTTAAGGTTATTTGCGTTTTTAATTTTATTACACAATTGTCTTAGGGAGCGTTCAAGTATTACGTAACAAATTTAGGTGTCTTTTTGTAAAACTTTACGATGCGGAGCGGGGATTGAATTACGCGTTATTTTTAATATTATTTTCGACTTTCCAGTACTTTACACCACATAATGGTAACTTTTAGGTATAAAGAGTCACGAGGTGGTCACGAAACGTTTTACTAGTGGGTACAGAAAAACATTACGGCGCGTTGCATGTGGGAGAGGATCAATAATCTCCAAAAATTGCGTGACGTAATACTTGAACAATCCTTTATTGCGAACAGTAAGTTCACAAGTAATCATGGTATCGATCAGAAATTTATAGCAAAACTATAGAGAAGATTTCAGAATAGTAAAAATGTGTTGATGTATCTAAAGATAATTTATCTTATCTTAAAAGGATACAGTTTTCCACCGTTTCTGCAGCGCTTTGATAAAAGCAGCAAGCCGGGTCCGCAAAGGTAAGGCGGCCACCATGCGAGGATTGTGCGCTGCGGCTTGTACGCGTGCCCACGCGCACGTATTACGTGCACGTAATACAACTTGAGCACGAGAACATACACGCGTGCCACACGCACGTTCTTAAACAATTTTATAAGTATACTAGCGGAACCGACAGACAGACACTTAAACACAAAAAAATTCATCAAAACCTGTCCAGCGGGTTTGAGGTATAATTACGAACACATGCACAGAAGATTTATATATATACCAGCTGTTTATTTGCTGTATATATTATAAATGATTTGTGAATCTAAACCATCCAGGGCCACCCAAACGCATACAAAAACATTCAAATCGGTCCAGCCTATTAAGAGGAGTTCAGTGACATACATACGTATAATAGAATTATATATATAAAGATGAATCACAGAAGATAATAGCAATATTTTTTCACTTAATTTTTAATTGATATTTTAATTCTCAGGTACACTTAAGCAGCGTTCGTTCTTAAAAATATAATATATCTCTCTCATAATATATGTTATTTAGAGAAAACTCCTAAATTAGTAGACGATGTAAACACAGCTATTAAAGTTAATTGTAGAGATGATACTGATTACAATCAAAATATATTTATTTGATACAGGAAATCATTATAAACGCTATATTAGTTTTGTATATTAATGTTTGCAATATACATATTTAAATTATTTAAAAATGGCAAAACCGGGTTTATGCGTTTTGAAAGTATAATCTCATAAATATTATTTTAAAATCATTCTCGGTTAAATATGTTATATTGAATGTTTTAAAGATCAAACAATTGTGACTAACGAATGTCTAGATTTGTCTAAATATACCGACATAACAAAAATACTTAAACTAGGGTTTGTCCAGTTTGTGAGCGTTTTTAAATGACTCATCACAGGATATTAAATTTTATTATCTTAAATAATTAGTATCATTTAACAATTAATCGGAATTATTGGATTATAACTAGGAAAAAATATGTAAGTAATCAAAAGTCGAAATCGGCTTATTTTATAAAAAAATATAATCCCTCAATATGAAGTTATAAAACTTATTCACCTTAAAAACTATAAAGTATTTTATTTATTTTTTTAAGCAAGTAATTTATTTAATTTAAAGATGCCGAAAAAAGAAATTCACCGTGTATTATTAGTTGTTTAGCGAACTTACCAGTAATTTGATTGAGTCGTCGTAACGCAGCACACATAGGCGTACGTACACGTAACGTACGACCACGTGCACGCACCGCCATGCTCCCGCCGCGGACCATTTCTCCGAGACGCGCGCATGTCTTCTCACTCACCGACGCCAACTTACGCCGTAATTCCCCGTAGTTTATTAGGGCGTATAGCTCTTGGGCAACTTTCTTTACGTCTGGAATTAAACAATTAATATTTTAGATCACATAATATATTGGACGATAAAAAAATACGTATAAAGGTAAAGAAAAGAGCAGAGAAGTTATGACCTAGTGGCTTCAGCGTGCGACTCTCATCCCTGAGGTCGTAGTTTCGATCCCCAGTTGTGCACCAATAGACTTTCACTCTATGTGCGCATTTAACATTCGCTCGAACGGTGAAGGAAAACATCGTGAGGAAACCGACATGTCTTAGACCCAAAAAGTCGACGGCGTGTGTCAGGCACTGAAGGCTGATCACCTACTTGCCTATTATTGGACGTCAAATAGCCGTTAAATTTATATCACTCGCGCTGTATAACTTTTGTAAGTTATACAGAGCTTACAAGTTTGTATTGTTGTCAATTAGATGAAACTTATATCGTATCAATAAGAACTTTCGTCTATGTGACGAAGTACAAAGATGCAAGAAACGAAGAAGGAATGAAATAGCCGCTTCTTCCTTGTATCTTTACCCTTTTGTGTATCATTTTTGACGTGACAACATCTTATAATTCGATGGAGCCGGCTGCACGCACGAAAAAACATGACACATGCGGCGTTACCTCGCTCTGAGGCGTTCCATTTAAGACTTGAAGTGCAAGCGAGAGCGCGGCACGAGCGTCAAAGAGGCACAATCGACCTCCGCGTTCAGCAGCGTTCGTTCGTTAAAAAATTGACATGATTGTATTTATGCGTACAAGTAAATGTAACTTGATCAATTCAATTGTGATTTTGATTAACCTCCTTCTCTTTATCCATACAAAATATCTATCAAACAAATAAAATTAAAATTTTCTTTTGAAAATTGCAACCATTCCATCAGTATTTTCTTATGACGTTGTCACGTTCAACTATCGTCAGTAAACCGACTTTACAGACAATCGACTGTTTAGCTTAAAAGCCTCACTCTACATAAAACAACAACTGAGAATAAAAAAAACACCACACCACATCATACCTAACTCAAACCTTATACAAGCAACTTAAAAAACGCACTTTCTTCGTCCAACGCTTTTTCTCTTTCATCTTTCACCACTTTCTTAAGAATATGTTCACTAACGTTTCAAAACTCACATTACATACATTGAATAAAAATTTTAAACAACATCTCGCCAACCTGTCTTATGCTGATACAGAAAATTTTAATTATAAATAGTTAAGTAGAACAGTTCGTTTAGCAGTAACAATTTAGTTTTTTCTTTGAAATATAAGTATTTAAATTGTCGTTTGTTTAATGTTAAATTTCAGTTAATTTTTTGTTTTTCTTTTTGTCTATTAAAGTACTTATTAATCTTTTCTATTTCATATATATTGTCTAAGTGTTTTGTTTTATAATATGTATGATAGCTGTAAGATTACTAATAAATAAATATAGTTTATATGTTTTAGTTATTTAAAACACCTTTATTTAAAATAATCAGTGTTGCATCGTGGAGTCATCATGGAGTTTATATTCTTCTTTTAGGTATATAAAATATTTTTCCACTGGTACGAGCTATGATTATTCATTACTTCTATTCATATTTTTATGTGGTTATAAAAATAATCACAGTAATTATAAAACAGGTCAAACAATCAAGCAACACATTGTATAACATTGTACGACAAGAATTACAATATTGAATCAGGTTATTACAATATTGTCATCAACTAGTAATTTTTATTTTACTTATTACGATTGCTTTATAATACAAAATTGTCAGAGACCCTGTTGCAGCATTACCAGGTGTCTATTTGCAGCATTACCAGGAGTTCTCTCAACAACTTTTTTATAATTATAATTAATTTAGTAATTAACTATATTTGAAGTTGTCTTAAAGGACTCAAAATGGCGCGGCTAATGGGATATATTTGCATTTATATCCGACAAAAAGATGTTTTTGTGTACTTAAGTAAAGAAAACATACCGTTGTGTGAATACCGATTTGAAGTGCATTTTTTATTTGTTTTTATCATCATTATGCGCACAATTCGATATTTAGTCAACTTTTTCACATTTCAGAAACCTGAGTTAGCAATGATCTAAAATTAGTAAACAATTTGTTATTTAAATTTAATTAAAGTTTCAACTACGGATGTCATTTTACAGAAGGCAAATGGACAGGAGGATCATCTGATGTTAAGCGATACCGCCGCCCATGGACACGCGCACTGCCAGAAGGCTCGCAAGCGCGCTGCCGGCCTTTTAAGAATACTCCTACCACTAATCGTTCTAAAACAGAAATAAACCTTACTTTCATCAAACTGCACGTGCTTTGAAAGCTTGTGCCACGTCCTGTAGTAGAAGTGGCTGACTTGTGTCTTCGTCTTCAAGCCGTCGGCCATGCCCTTTTTCTTCATCTTCCCACAGATGTACGCTGTGATGGCATCAAAGTCTTTTCCGTACTCGTTCAAGGCTTCGAAGAATAAACTCTTTTCGTCTGCTGACCAAAGTGCTTTGGGCATCCGTTGCTTCACTGGGAACTGGGTTGGAGACTTTAGGGGCTCCTTATCGTCGATTTTGTTTGGCGTATCGCATTCTGTTACGTCTAGAAGAAAAAATAGAGATGGTAGTTATGTAGAGTTTATTAAGTATGGTATCTAAAATGATATGTCACTTATGGCGCTAGTGCACTTTGTCTTTTAACTATACATCCTTTTTTATTGTGTAATAAAGTTGTTTTTAGAAGTTATACTTCTTTTGGCACCTTAGGATAAATGATGAGAGTAAATGATGCGCCTGTAACTTATTTAACAACAAATATTTCACCGGACATTATTATATTTAAAAAGTAGTTTATTTCGTTTAAGCATTACTAGAAAAGCAATATATACCAGATCTTCCAGTAGAGCATAAAACAAGGCGACGATATTTTAGGGGCAAGGGGACTCACTTTACGATAGCTTTGTCAATTCGCATACATCTCTATAGTGCTAGTTTTATAATGATAAAATAGAAGTTGAAATATTTATTGATTTATACCAAAGCAAAACTTACTGACTGTACTGTAGTAGATTGGTTGATAATTCGTAGTCGTTTTTATTTACAGAAGATACCTTTTAAGAGAGAAAAATATATGAATTACCTCGTTTATCCGCTGGTGACTCTAAACGCAACTTCTTGATGACTCTGGCGCTAGTCCGTTGCTGCTGCTGTGTGGTCAAAGATCCCAATAGTTCAGTGCGCTGTTCTTCTCCCTGACATGCGCCGGGCGACATTGTTGGCTCTTTGGACAATGGCGGCTGTAATTTTACTTTTAATTTACTATGAAGGACCTTAGCATAATATGATTTAGTAAGTTTACCTACTACATAACTTATCAACATAAAAAACGAATACATCAAGATTTTGCTAATACTTAAAAAATCAGACAACACACACACATAAACACACAAAATAAAATTAGAGATATCAAAAACAAAAAAAAACTATTTTCCCATTCGGTTCGTTTCAAGTGTGTAATGCGTGTGTGCTGTGGTTGTAATTGGCCCTGGCTGAGCATTATGCTAAGAGGCTGAATGTTCCACAGCGCTGGTCATTCTGCCAGAGACCACAGCAGCTAATTTGCGCCTCAGTCGCAAAAAAAGAAAGAAAAGGAATGTAATAAATACTTAGTAAAAAAAGTCTTGTGTAAAGGTGTATAGTAAAATTAATAAAATTTAATGTAATGTAAATAAATAATGAATCAAACTCAAAATAACTTTATTCATTATAGGTAACCAAGTACACTTATGAACGTCAACAGAAAATATGTTATAATAATTCTAAATTTACATTTACTATTATTATTATTTTAGTTCGGCAGTCAGGAGAGGGCAAGAAGAACTGGCAAGAAATTCCGCCACTCTTTTTAATAGCCCAGTTTTGAGTCATACAAATTGTTCGTCAACAGGCAGAGGCATAAATAACCAGTAGGTTGAGGAAAAAGGAGATATTGGTGTGCTTATGTTGTTTTTAAAATTATCGAAAAAAATAATTTTAATTATTACCTATAATTGGAACAAAAAAATTCGAAGAGGTTTATATTGAAATAAGCAATTATTTTAATCACACTCATTCAATATAATAAGCCATATACATTTTTTGAAATAATTGCTGTTTGAAACGAACATCATCTATTGTTAAGCTATCAAAGTAATAACACAAATAGCAATAAAAAAGTGCATTGTTCAAGAGATGTCATAAGATATGTCAAATAAGCATTTTATATGTAACTAGCGGGCCCGACAGACGTCTTACATGATATTAATCAAAGTATGAAAGTACCGACTGCAGCGTCATCTGCCGGGCTAATTTGTATATCTAAACCATCCAAGGCGCCACTATAACGCGTACAAAAATATTCATTCAAATCGGTCCAGCCGTTTAAGAGGAGTTCAGTGACATTCACACGTACAGTATAATATATAAAGATAAATTTTCGTGTCCTCTAGAAATGTAAAGTCCTTTGAAACGGATAATTTTAAGAGCTTTTATTATATAAATTTGTAATTCTCACAACAAAATGTTTATTTTTAATGAGCTTAATGAAAAAACGGCTATTTAAATCAGTCACGGACAGTTGATTGCCAATTATCCACGTCCTTGGACTGAACTGGCAGAACTAAATTTAGAACTTGCCACCTATATGTTAGGTAGGTCAAACACACTTGTTTTGAAATGGAAACCACCAAAAACAAACTGCAAAATCGAGTCGTAATGAAACCTGTTTTGCCTACCCATAATATTTTCAAGTCATAAATTATATCACGATTCACACATGATATATCCTATTAACAGTTAATTAGGAACTTCAATACAAACAAAACTTCGTAATGTGTTCTTCCTTATCGAGCCTTTAACATTTATTCAATGTCAAACAAAAAGATTACATAAGCTGTTCCTTTATTTAACAAACGACGCATTATTATTCTGTAAATCAAAGCCTTTAAGCCGCATCAGTGTTTACTCCATAAGTCGGCTACTTAAAAAATATATGATTACTAATGATTTTTAACAAAGAAAAACCGACATTCGAAGGAATTTTAGCCACGATGGAATTCCACTTACGGTCTTTCAAAAAAGAGACATATCATTTCTTAAAAGACCGGAAACGCATTTGCGAACCTTCCGGCTATGTGAGTGTCCATGGGCGGCGGTATCACTGACCGACAGGTGAGCCTCCTGCTTGTTTGCTCCCTGTTACATAAAAATAAATATGATCAGATTTTCGAAGGTTCCCCTCGATTTCTCTAGAATGCTATCATAGGTTTGGTTACTACACTCCAACAAATATGAAATAATAATCATGAAAATCTAAATCTGTATATACGTACCTATATATATTTACCTATAGAATGTCGAATAGAGAAACCTTTAACTTTGGTTTTACAGAGTATTATTTATTATTAATCATTTATTTTCTTATTTCCAATTTTTACAGTATCTTAATAGTAGTACAATAGAAAACAAATTATTACAAACAAAAAAACTAAAAAACATAACATAAACAAAACAAGAAAACATAAAACAACTACCTATCAAGGAAACAAAAAAGTCCGTCTACCTCTGCGCGCTAAATTTAAATTCGTATTATTGTAATAATAGTTCGATAAAAACTAACAAGCATTAATTATATTTTAAGGCATCAAGGGTATGATTCAGAGTACAGACTTTGAGCCGAGTAGGATTTCCATAGGTTAAAATTTTTTTGGAGTTTTAAGCATGGTCATAGTTCGCACTAACTTCAACTCTGGAAACTCCTATGAGGCCTGACATGGCACCATAATAATAAAGATTAAACCAACGACGAAGTTGTTTGAAGATACAAAAAATACTCTATCTAATACTCTCAATAAATTTCGACTATGTAATTGCGTGCTCCTATTTCAACATGCCTCCTGCTGATAGAGGACAAATCTTTGTTTTTAATTTATTTTATAATTATTTATTACTTAAAATGTCATGTGGAACATGGTGTTGCTCCTTACAAACGTGTCAAACAAAAAACTTGGCGATTAAAAAGAGTGCCGGAGAGTTTATTGCTAGTTCTTCTCTTCTGTTCTACGCCCTTGATTTGAGAACTGGTAGTAAATATAAAATTAGAAGCATTTTATGTTTCTTTTCTGACGTTCATAAGTGTACATTGTGTTACCTATATGAATAAATGATTTTGACTTTGACTTTATGTGTATAATAAATTCGTGTTTATATCTGTTATTTCATTTATAAAATGCCTCACTATGGACAAGTTAACATAAGTTTGATTGATTGCAATAAACTTTTAGATAATTAAGTTGATAATGTGCATAATTGTATTTTGTATCTACTTGATTTCGCTGGCCATGTCCCCATGTTATGGAGACGCTTTTCATATTTTTGTTTGTATCATGAGTTTGTCCTAATTTTGCGGTCCAAAGAAATGTTTTAAAAAAATTACGAAACGGTCAAAATAATAAAAGAAACAAATCTTTAATGTTATTGGGATAAAGAAACCTTTTAGTTTTAAATAATTAGCATTTTTATACAATCGTATACCCACATAAAAATAACAATCTAATCAGACATTTCTGCGTGTCGTAAATTTGACTGTACACTTTATTTTTACATAATGTTGTTATATTTTAAAAAAAGTGAAGTTAAAGTGAGACTTTTTTTTTAAATATATTTTATAGCTGATTTCCCGACTATGTAGTCGTCGGAGGTATGTAGTAACTTACGTATATGTACAACTTAAGTAAATTGTATTATACGAAGCACTACTACCTATTTCTCTTAACAACTATTTGTATACAGCAAATTCCAAAAAGATGCCTCTTAACCTATTGGTGAACATTATTTCCTTTAAATTCGTCTCTGTTACTTTTATGCTTGCTCAGTATAATACCTGTCGTATATACATTGGACAGTCGGTCAGAACATGTAACACCGTCTCTTCAGATGTATTGCTACAAGGACAAGCAGCACTTTGTCTAACCCAGAATCTGTAAAGATACGACAAGAATCCACCGTGACCTGTCAACATTTGGGTAATTAATCGGATTGGTTTTATTTGTTTAAATAACGAAAAGGCCGAAACAACATTTGAAAGGAATAACTTAGAAAGAGGTTTTTTTTAAAGTTAGATTAGTGATAATATCTATTCTATAGTCAAGTCAAACTTAGTTATACCAGCTATTTTAAAATATCTATTAAAAAATATTGTTTTCGATAGACGCTTGTGATTTAAGGACCAGAAGGAATTATTATTTAATTTTTATGTTAACTAGGTATTTATTTAGATAATATTTAGTTTAAGTAAATAAAAAAATAGACAAAATGGATTAAACCATATATACATTACAACCAAGTCAATTTACAAATAATTTAAAAATTAAATAATATACCATCAGAAAGCCTAGACAGGCGCTGGACTAATTTATTGGGAACACATGCGCATGCGCAAGATTGGCAAAGGACATTTATCCTATTCAGTCAACAGCTTTTTAATCATGGTATAACATAATTTCAATTCGTAAACGCGGATGTACCATTGCGGCATTTAAAATGACATAAACACTGAACGAGTTGTTAACAATAGTCAGAACGATACGTAATCTGGTCCGAGGCTAACGTACACCAAATTCAAAATATTTTGAGTGCAATTTAATAAATAGTGCATTAGAAAATAATTTTGTAGTGGTGTTTAGTTTCTATAAGTTATGGAAATGTTTACGCTTTCGTTTGCGATTTTCACATTGCACGCATTCACCAACGCGCAATTGTTGCCTAAAGAGGCCTATGCTACAGTGGTACGTATATTTATCAAAGTTACTTGAAATTATAATATAACGATTATTTCAGTCAGCCCAATTATTTAATTTATTTATTATATTTAAAAATTAATATATAATTAAGTACAATAATTTATAAAAATACAGAATTGTACATTTCATGTTACAAAATATGTATTACGTTTTTCTCGTAAAATATTCTTTGTAATAGTTAAATAATTAATTTATTAATAAATCATTTATTTGCAAAGAAACATTTAGATCGATTAATAATAAAAATCCGCACAATCAGCAATATAAAAGCAGGCATTTTAATGTCATATTAATTTTAATGTCATAATAATAATAAGTTATTTATAATTGTTGTCAAACTTATGGTCTAAATACTTACCCATTAAAGGCACGTTGTCTTTACAAATTTAATCACACAATATTAGATCATTTAAAGTAACTCATAAATTTAGTAACGTAGCACTAGAATTCTCGATGCGGCAATTTTCACATAGTTATCATATTATTATTTACATAATTATCTATTTAAACCTATATATACCTAATCATGAGCCTACGGCGATGTTATGATATATATACTATCAAAATACGTCCTGTATTTTTACCTATTTAAAAAAACTACCGATACATTTCCTGCTCCTTCAAATTTCAATTCGATTAATAAATAAATAATAATTAAAACACATTACTTATAATGATGCGAAAATAGGTATGTAAATAAATATCTGCTGATTATGCAGAAAATGCTTCCAATACTTAATTTGCTATGACCTTGTAACTTAATTAAAACGTAAATATAGTAAACAATATTCTTAACTTATAAACAAGCAATAACCAAATTTTTTTAATGTCAATAAAAATAAGTGTTATGTTCGCACGCACGATACGCTAATAGAATACAGATGGTGATAAATCCTTTAAAAGTTAAGTTTACCCTAACTAAATTGCGATATTTCTAGCGATTATAATGAAAAATTCATCGAGTAATAGCGACATTTTTGTTGAATGTCGTTCGTATAATATAAGTCAGAAATTAATTTAGATTGTTATCGAGAAGAAAATTATTATTTAAATTATGAAATAGGTTATTACCTAGTTTTTTGATGTACCTATAATTTCATTCAAAATTATAGTAATCATTTTATCTCCTGACCGGAATCGTAATAAATATTACGGTAAGTAAATATGTGTTTTACGGTACATTAAATAGTTTTTTGGTAAATTGTTGCAGCACTGCCGTATATAAATTATGCAGACTTAAAATAATTGTGACACTGCACATACAAAATCCCAAAACCGAAAGAAAATTATTATTATACATAGAAAAAGTATTATAATTAAGTTCCTTAGCCCCGAGGTTCATGGCTAACACAATATTCCAGATTCTGTGTCTTCCTCGTCGATGTTTTCCTTCACAGTTCGACCAAGTATTAATACATAGCAAGAAAAAAGTAAAAAGCCAAAGATTATATCTAACGGTCGCAATTACCACGCAATAACCAATAGTTGAACAATGCTCGCTGAACTGTCAACAGAACATAATGTCGTATGACGACGTGACATGAGAACTTTCTGACAAAGGATCTGACCTTGCCATTGAATTATCTACTTAATAAGATGCTGCAGCTCATTATTTCACTATCTACATCCATTATTTCTTTTATATGCGACGTAATCACTTCACGTGGCAACGCAAATATAAATCAGGCTTTTACCTCCACCATTCAAATCTTTTTTGAAAAATAACGACTTAACAAGTTCAAAAGCTCTTGTCTCTATTAAAACGTTTGTCAGTAATATTGCTTATGTCAACAATTACATATAATAATTACTATGTAATCATTTTTAAACCTTTTCTGGAAAGCGTTAAAAAACTTGTCCATCCTCATATTAATATGGGAAAATTATATCATATCTTATTGTATTTTGCACTTCCTAGATATTCGTATCACGGCGCAACAAAGGCGATTTACTGGTGCGTACGCGCATCACGTAAGCGCAAAATTCTGTTTGAATTCAAATGAGATCAATTCAACACAAAGAAAAAATTTATACACCAAATATCTACTGTACGCATGAAAATTTATAGGGAGATAGTTTGTGTCCAATAACTCTTCAAAAAGTCACCTTTTCTGACAGGTCAACAGATCGATGAACTTTATCAAAATATAAATCTTGATCACGAAGCTAATTGCAGTTTTCGTCTTTTGAGAAGCTAGGTATGATTTTTTTGTTGGAATAAATAAACTTCCTTTTTGATATTTTTTTACCAAGTTTGATCATAGGCTTACTACATAATTTTTAAGAATACAATGATTAATAGGTCTATAGGGACTGGTTCTTTTTTGTTTACGTTGTTTTTCTGCACCATATGAGGAAGTATGAATAGCGCACATAGATGTAAAAATTAATTTGTCATACCCAACATTGACTGGGTTACCACTTATTGCTAACACTGTTTTTTTTTATAGCCTCAACTTATTTCATCAGCCGGTTACCCTGTGAACAAGTACAGGGTGACTACAGAGGATGGTTACATACTTCAGATGTACAGGATCCCAGCAGGAAGACGAACTGCTAGGAGATCAGATAATGTGAAAGGGAAAAGACCTGTGCTACTGATGCATGGGCTGATGGGCAGCTCGGATAACTTTCTTATTATGGGCCCGAATAAAAGTTTAGGTATGTAGCGGGTATTTACAACCAGCCAAGTATATTTACATTTAAGAAAATAGGAGCTAAAATGATTAGCTAGCAACTAGGCACTAAAAGCTTATTATTATTCATAAAAAAGTGCATGCGTACAACCTACAAGTACACATGTCAGAAGTGGAACTTCTTTGTAAATTAATTATTGAGTAATTAGGCTGCCCAAATCCCATAATAAAATTTTGCCCGTTTTTCTATATTAATGAATGATACTATGGCTAATTAAAAACCAGAACTTAAACTACTTGTTGTTATGTATATAACTATTGTTATATATATAGAAATACCACCATAAATATGATAATTATAATACCAAATAATCTCAAATTCATTATTATCATAATTGCTAACTTATGTCCACATTTTCTAAAATAGCCAACTGGGTCTTAGCAAAAAAGGTCTTGGTTCTGTGCCCTTATAAAAATACAAAACCAACAAAAAATATGGTAATTTAGTTACTTAATAAAATAATAAGATATCTATTAAAACACCATCGGTGTTCAAGTATGAATAATTGCACCACAATATTATACTAGCACATCTTTATTAACGAAAAAAAAACGCCGTACATTTCGTGACGTTCCGTAAAATTTTTACCTTCATTCGCCTAAAGAAGTTCCACTTCAATAATTTGATTAAAAACTAGGATTTTGAAAAAGTATAGAAACAAGATGTTTATATATAAACAATCCATTCCAGGCTATATGCTCGCCGATGCAGGATATGATGTATGGCTGGGGAACATGCGTGGCACTGTGCACTCCTCCCATAAAAATCTCACGAGGCGAGATGCGAAATTTTGGGATTTTAGGTAACGTTAACTGAAATAACCAATATGTATTATGAAAATTTCAGAGCTTCATAACAATAATTATGTTGAGTCTAGTTTCACAATCTAATTATCCTTTGTCTATTCTAGTTTTGACGAACACGGAAAATACGATTTGCCAGCGATTATAGACAAGGTTCTAAGCGTTACTAAGCTTGACAATCTCTTCTACATTGGCCACTCAATGGGCACAACCAGTTTTTTCGTCATGATGTCCGAAAAACCAGAATACAATGAAAAGATTGTTGCATTCATCGCCCTTTCACCAGCCGTATATGTTGGAACTATTAAACCGATCATCCAATTATTATTAAGGGACTTAAATTTAACGGTGAGTTATACATTTTACGAAAGATTCCATTCCAATAGAATTGAGAAAAAAGGGTTTTAATTTGCACAGCTGAAACAGATTCCGCGTGGACTTGGATATTAATGATTTCCTTTTATAAAATTTTACCAAATCGACTATAGATAATTGACTTCACCGTTGACAAATACATATAACTACAGTTCATCATATAGTCCATCTTGAGGATTCTAATAAAAGAGTTAGTACTAATTTGCATTGCATGCATTTGTTTTGTCATATACATACATTACAAGCAAATGGCCAAACACTTGTTCTAACAAACGTTTCAAATCTAATATCTAATATAAAATTATAAGTAGGCTCATGATTGACGTCACTAAAATATAGCCATGGATTAACGAGGATTATATTTTGAAGTTATGCTTATTTTGGCGCGTTAGGAAAAATGATGAGAGTAAATTTTTACGATGCGCGCGCACACCGTCTCAAAAAACCGACACCCTGAAGTTAGCTATAGTCAACATTTTAGTTTGTTCTATTGTTAGTGTCATTTTTCTACAAACGTAGAATAATTTTTTTGAAAACATTTTTATCTTGTTACGCCAAAGAAGTGTAACTTCTAACGCGTGTACATAAGTACACAGACGTTTTTTTTTTTAATTCTTTTGAATTAGACAACAGTCTACATACTGACTCTATGTTGATAATGGAATCGACCCACTCAACTACATACTTAAAATTTATACTATAATAGAAGGCTTCACTTCCCTTTATTTGGTTGCAGAACAGAATGCGAGCACAAGGCATATATTCTTCGGAAATTGTAAAAAATCAGTGGCAGTCAATAGCTACTACATGTATGGGACGGAAAATTGAAGAAAATATGTGTGTGAGATTCGTCGCTTTACTCGTAGGGGAGAACGACGCGGAGGTCGATTTAGTACGTATATTTTAGCCTTAACAATGTATTGTAATACATTCTTATTATCATTTAGGTTAACATTATAGACTGACATGTTTGTGAAGTGTCGTTTGGAATAAAAAGTAAGAGTAACTGCTCTTCAACGGCTGGACCGATTTTAATGATTTTTTTGTTTGCGTGGCGCCCTGGATCGTTTAGATTCACAAATCAGCCCGGCAGATGGCGCTGCAGTCGGTACTTTCAGTATGAAACAAAGTATTGTTTAATATCCTAATCACTTGAAATATCATGCAGGACGTCTGTCGGATTCGCTAGTTAATGTATAAATTTTTTTAACTGTAACTTTCAGAGTATGTTGCCAGTTATTATTGCTAGAGTACAACCAGCTAGTTGGCAACAATATGAACACTATGGAAAAATAGTTGAATCTGGTGTGTTTACCGCTTGGGAGAATGGTTTTAACGGAACTATCAGACCTTATAACTTATCAAATGTTAAAGTACCGGTGGAAATCATTTATGGAGAAAATGATCAACTAGTCCATAAAACGGTTAGTAAGTCCTTAATGATACTTTCATGGTAGTTTAAAGAAGAATGACAGAAATAATACTATTTTCTTAATCTATAACTAGTCTTGCCATTAATACTGAAACAATGAAAAAAAAAAGTTTTCTATTGCAAAAAACATATATTACTTTTACAGTGTGTTAGTTTAACACATAAATAGAAAACAATTTAAAATCTAAAAAGCTTAGTCGAAGTGATCTCCATTGGCTGCAATACAGTCCTTTGAACGTTGAGGCCGGTTATCGCATGGGAAAATTCTTCACTGCCAATAGTATGGATTGTTTTAGGGACTCCAAGGTTCTCTAATCATCCCAGTCCATTTTAATATCGCAAAATAATATACAATGTATTGACACCAAAATGACAAACTCAATGAACAATCATATAAAATGATTCCAAATTCTAATGTAATATTTTGTTAATTTTCAATTGTAATATGTAGTATTTATGGCCTGACTAAGCATATATACATAGATGATTGATCTTCTGTGTTTTAAGATCTCCTAGCTCTCTATTATTGTTTTTCTTACCATTCTTTGAAAACACAACTTCAGGGATGAGTAAGCCAATAAGCTATCACTATTATTATTGTATTTTATTTAAACATTCTAAAAACATAACATTCTTTTCAGCAAGTACTGAGGTTAGCTGAAGAGCTCAAAGCAATTGGTGTATTAGAAGATGTAAGATCTGCATGTTCATGTCCCAAATGGAACCATTTAGACTTTGTTGTTGCCAAGAATGTAGGAAAATTACTTAACAAACCTTTGGTGAAAGATGTAAACCGATTATACAATAAATATGGTTCCTAATATTTTATACTATGTCATTATTTACATAACCAACAATAATTTTGATAATTGAAAATGTCACAAAAGTTCACTTCATGAATACTTCAACATGCAAGTGATCAATAAATTAGATTTGTGGACTTGGAGAGAATTTCTATTTAATTCCAAAAAACCATATGAATCACTGCTTTAGTTTTCAAAACCAAATTTCATTGAATTATGATCTAAGAAAAATGGCCAATAAGCAAGCAGCTGCTCTAGACCATCAAAGATTCTGTTATCTCAGAAATATCAATTCAAATGGGATTGTTAAGCTAACATACTAAGAAATTTCACTATTATGGTAGGTATAAGGAATCGTAAACTATTTCATATACATTGGATTATAATTATTGATTGATTTGCTAGTACAGTGAAGAATAAAAGTCAATAGAATGTTATTATGCATGCCCAAGAACAGAAACAAGAAACAATACAAATCATTTGTTTTCCGTGTGTACTGAAAACTGAATACCAAAAATAAGATTTATAAACAAAGGCAACAATCCACCTCTTTAAGTTAATATCAATACTACTTTAAGTTAAAAAAATCTTTGGAAGCCTGCAGCTACACAATACACTTATTGTTTACAAAATGACTAGTAGCTTTTTATTTTGTACTCAATTAATAATTATTATGTATGCAACATGGCATTAGAAAACATCAAAATTACAATACATAAGCTTTTAACATAAATCTTTTTAATCCCGCCTAAATAGATTTAGTAAGTAAACAATTCTTACCTTATTTGTACAGGATTTCATTGATGTTACAGTAACCTTTGAGCTTGTTTTATTTTGTAATAGATTCACTGATATTTTAGGGTCCATTGCCAGTTTATATATCAAACAATGCTACAAAAAATTGAGATTTGTTCTAAAAAAGTAAATATTAATTCTTATTAAGGACATCTTAAATATCAATGTGAAAAGGGTGTTTACTTGCATTAATAGGCTTGCTAATCTTGCTAATCTTACTAATAGCATGAATCAAGAAAAATAGAGACTTAAATATAGTGTCAATACTTGCAATTTTATTAATTACTATGTTTTAAGACTTGAGTTATAGGAATGCTTACCTATATATAACTTTCAAAAGGCCATCTTATTTGGATACAATAGAATGTTTGCAGAAAATTATGGTCCCAAGTTGGTGTCGCTTTCATTATTCAACATGCATTTTATTTCCACAGTCACATAATATAATTCAATTGATAATATTCACAATTTTTATTCTCACTAAATTGTGTAAATAATATTCAAATTTCAACTACAAAAGTCAAAACAAACATAAAAATCTATCACAGATAACTACGTTTTATAAATGCACAGTGCTTAGTATGACTCCCTTACGTCAAATTGTGTAGAATCACTATCATAGTTTAAGCTCTCTCTTTTTAGAATCTCACCCTAGGGAAGATCATGTAGAGCTTAAAATCTTTGTAAGCATCATATTATTATAATATTATATTATAAGCATTACGAGTACTAAATCTGATATTTGACAACTGACCACATGGCAATATACACGACTTCTAAACTATGTTTATAGGTTTTAGTTTTTTCCGTCGTTGCGGGTATAAGTGTGCGTTTTCCAATTACAGCACTAGAGCGCATTTTGCGGCATAATGCTCAACGTTGAGTGTTCCAACTACAGCAACGCTTCGCACAATTGAGCACTCTCAAAACGAATGCTCTCGCAAACAATACCAACACAGTGACAGTGACAGAAAATTGACCAGTATTTTTCTTTAAGTTGGCATTTATCGAAATTTTCGTTAGTAAATATTATTTATTGTTGAAAAATTTGTAAGGCTTTCGTTTCGTCGTAGATTTTGAAAATAATTAAAGTTATTTCAAACTGCTAAAAAAAATAAATATTAGTATGGATGAAGGTATAAATAGTTACTTTTTTTATATTCCACATTTAAAATATGAATACAATTTTATTTTAAAATTCGGATCTGTAAACAAATTTACTTTACAGGATTATACTTTAGAAAAAAATTGCAATGGTTTTGAAAAAGTATATAATTTTTTAGAAATCATTAAAAAATATTACTCAAAACTTAAATGATGTAAACTTCTTACATGAAACTTAATATTTTACTGTTAATTTAGCTTGTTACAACCTTATATTCTTTAAAGGTTATCTCTTATTTCAGTAAAAAAATGTTAATGAAATAATTTGATTATTTAATTAAGCGTAAAAAGTTTTCAACCAACTATTATTGTTTACCACATTATTTATACATTAATGAGGTTGCTAACTCTATTCAGACCATTTTGTTGTCAACACTGACTTAGCGCACTCTGCTGATGCATTTGAAAACTAATTCACGTTCCAATTAAGCTTCAGCATTATGCGGCATTGTGCGGCACTGAGTCGCAAAATGCTCTGTAATTGGAAAACGCACACTGTGCGTTTACACGTGTTTCGGATATCATTATTTAGTATTTTCTATTTTTTCTCGTAGTTTAATGAATATAAGTCGACTTATCCTATTCGTGGTGGTTAATTAATAACATCAACTAATTACGTAAGTTATTTTTATTTATTTGTTATATTTCTCCCTTTACTTTGTTATATTTTTGGTAGTCTATAATGGAGAAACGCCGCGATCCGCGTGTCTAATCCCATTATACCTTCCAGCAATTATTCTGTTACGATTCCTAATTACAATGTTTCCCGTATGGGTCTTGTGAGAGGTGTCCCAGCTGATTGGTCGATGCAAGAATTTGTCGAAACCTTGGAAATTCCTGAAGGTATTGGTATAGTCCTCAAGGCCAGACGCCTAAACCGCAAGACAAACTCCGATGGTCAAATTAATTGGTTTCCAACACAAACTGTTGTTTTAACCTTTCAGGGACAAACCCTTCCGGAGAGAATATTCTCCTGTCATAGTTCCCTCCGCGTTGAAACGTACCAACTCCCAACAATTCAATGTCTCAACTGTTGTAGATTTGGTCACGTAAAGTCACATTGCCGTTCTAAGCCTAGGTGTTTTCGTTGTACTTTAGCCCACTCTGGTGATGATTGTAATATCCCTGAAATAGAGTCATTATGTTTATTTTGTACTGCCTCGCACTATGCGACCAACAAAGCTTGTCCTGAGCATAATCGACAAAAAAACATAAAGAGTTGTATGTCTCAGGAGAGCATTTCTTATCTCGAAGCATCGGCTCGGTTCAGACCTATCAGTGGCAAAACTCTTGCAGACTCTGTTAAAACAACGCCCTCCCCTTCATTCAGTTTATCCAAGCCCATTATTATACCTTCCCAAGTTTCCCGTCAGACAACATCATACAGGAAAACGGTATTTCTCCCTCCTCGCTCTAGGCCAACATCAGGAAAATCCTTTGATAAGGCGGCCCATGAGGCCATTACTTCCAATTTACCCTCCTCTTTACCCAATGGTTGTGCCGTAAGCTCCCCAACCCTTATCAACAATGAAGTCTCCCCAAATGAAAATCTTCTTGACTGCTTATGGGCAGTCATTTGTAACATGCTATCTAAATATGATGACATCCCCATACCGTCCCACGTTGCCCAAAAAATTAATTTGCTCCACTCATTCGTCACCAAAAATGGCGAATCTAGTAATCCAGTGGAATTGTAACAGTATTCGCAGTAAAAAATCCGAATTAACCTTTCTCATCAATAAATTCGCTCCATCTATTCTAGCCATTTTGGAGACTTGGTTATTGCCGGGTTCCCACTTTAGGGTTTCTGGGTATCGATGTCTCCGAGATGACAGGGATGATGGCTATGCTGGCTGTGCCTTTTCGGTCAGCCGATCCCTCACCTTCCACTCACTGTGCGTTTTCCAATTACAGAGCATTTTGCGATTCAGTGCCGCATAATGCTGAAGCTTAATTGGAACGTGAATTAGTTTTCAAATACAGCAGAGTGCGCTAAGTCAGTGTTGTAAAAAAAATGTTGAATTTGTATGAATTGAGTTAGCAACCTCATTAATGTATAAATAATGTGGTAAACAATAATAATTGGTTGAAAACTTTTTACGCTTATTTTAATCATCAAATTATTTCATTAACATTTTTTTTATTGAAATAATAGAAAACCTTTAAAGAATATAAGGTTTTAACAAGCTAAATTAACAGTAAAATATTTAGTTTCATGTAAGAAGTTTACATCATTTACGTTCTGAGTAATATTTTTTAATGATTTCTAAAAAACCACTGCAATTTTTTCTAAAGTATAATCCTGTAAAGTAAATTTGTTTACAGATCCGAATTTTAAAATAAAATTGTATTCATATTTTAAATGTGGAATATAAAAAAAGTAACTATTTATCATCCATACTAATATTTTTTTTTTAGCAGTTTGAAATAACTTTAATTATTTTCAAAATCTACGACGAAACGAAAGCCTTACAAATTTTTCAACAATAAATAATATTTACTAACGAAAATTTCGATAAATGCCAACTTAAAGAAAAATACTGGTCAATTTTCTGTCACTGTCACTGTGTTGGTATTGTTTGCGAGAAGCTCGCGAGAGCATTCGTTTTGAGAGTGCTCAATTGTGCGAAGCGTTGCTGTAGTTGGAACACTCGACGTTGAGCATTATGCCGCAAAATGCGCTCTAGTGCTGTAATTGGAAAACGCACATTATCTCTTCCTCATTGTGATGGTATTAATGCTGTTGCTATGAGAGCTTTTAATATCTCGTTTATTTCTGTTTATATTCCCCACCCCCATATCGACCTCATTTCTGATATACGTTCTATTATCCTTTCGGTTCCTCCTCCTGTTGTCATGTTGGGTGATTTCAATGCCCACCATGTTTCTTGGGGTTGTCATTCCTCAGATTCTTTTGGGTCCCTTCTACTAGATTTACTCGATGATATAAACATAAGTGTCTTGAATAATGGTTGTCCTACGAGAAGGAGTCTTCCATCTCAGAATCCCGCTAACGCAGTGGATTTATCACTTTGTTCTCCTGATCTTTTCCCTATCAC